AGGAGTACTGACATAGTAGCATTCTGTTAGAATACTTCTAAATTTGTCTATACAGTATTATTTATAAGTATATACTGTAATTTAAAAAAATTTATTCATAATTATTATGATACAAGGTTTAGAATGCGAAATTCACATTCAATTTTAAACAGTCAAGAAATGTAGTTTCAAAAATTTACACTACTCGAAATTTTCATAATTTTAATTTGTTTGAAGACAAAAGTACATCAAGAGAATATCAACAATACATTAGCAAAAATTGTTACACTACCGGAAAACCAAATTAATCATGATTGTTGTTGAAATCATGAACCAGTCATTGCTAGTTAGACCAGCATTAGAAACCTGGAAGAATTGAAAGACAGCCGTTTCATCCTACAGTATGAGATTCATCAGTGTCAGTGCGTATCCACGACTCCCACTACTCAGTTTTGAGCGTGAATGCTTAACCTCTGGACCACTGAGCCGGCAGTATCCAACAGTGTTAATGTTCAACCCTGATCAACCTAAGGACTTCACATAATCTCACACAATGTTTCTGGTAGTTACTGCCTACACCTGACAAGTTTGAACTACACTGGTCATGTCTGCTTACCAGAACATTGAGAATTTCCTTACGAAGCTAGTCACTAGTTAGCTAATGGTGCAATTTTTCATTTTATAGAGTTATGCAAATTGTTATTTATTGTTGAAATCATGAATCAATCATTGTTAGTTAGATAAGTATTCGAAAACTGGAAGCACTGAAAGACGGCCGTTTCGTCCTACAGTATGAGACTCATCAGTGTCAGTGCGCATTCACGACTCCTGCTACTCACACAGGAATCGAACTCGGGACCCTCGATCTTCCACACGAATGCCATGTATAAGTGAACATATGTAAAAATTAATTTTAAATTTCAATAATAAACAATTTCTTGCACACTGGAATCATCACTGAACCACTTGGAGTTCACAAACAAGACCGAAGCTTCTGGGTTCGAATCTTGTGAGATGCATGAGTGGTGGATGCACATTGCTAATGAGTCCCATCCAAGGAAGAAACGGCTTTCCAGTGCTTTCAGATTTCCAATGTGGTGGTCTAAAAATGATTGATTGATGATTTCAAGTGTGCAAAAAACACTAATCTCCATAACTCTAATTGAATAATGAGCAATTATCTGATCGATAGTAAATTCTTATTATCCACGATGTAGACAAGAAGTGTGGCGCCAAAAGCTCACATTTTCCAGATTTTTCATCTCTTCTCACTGTTCAATCAAAATAATCAATTATGAATATCCTGCTTAACTTCTCCTGGATTCCCTCCGGGGCTACTGCCAGTCTCAAGCATGGATAAAGGAGAAGGGTTTGGATTGGGTTTTGCGATCCCATGCTGTAGAAAACCAGCTCGTTAACAAAAATGCTAACAAGAAAAAATAGTTCTAACCATTTAAACTCTGGCTTGAGAGTTTGAAGGTCTTCATTCAGAAGAGTTATGGCATCTCATGATGAAGGCCAAGTTCCTTCAAAACTCAGGAAGCCGATTCCCCTTCTGACAACCAGAGCCCTTCTACGGTGTGGTCAGCCGGGAAGTAAAAACTGCCCTCGTCTCCATAAAAGCACAAGAGACTGACATTCTGGTTAGGTTTTAACCGAAAAATATATGTCAATCCAGACTTCTGTGTTTACTATCATAATTTATGATTGCTTCTCCCGCTTTTGATGACAGTTTCGATAACTCGTTTAAAACGGTAATGGTTTGGATCATCCTGCTGTCGATATTTTAACTGAAATTTGGCTAACTTAGGGGAACTTTATGCAGATCTCTCCAATAAAGTCAGTATAACATAAGCTTATGGAGAATAGATAAAATCTAGCACTCGTTCGAATCAAGAACGAGTGCGTTCTGGCACTGGGTTCGTGTCCCGGAATGAAACATAACTCCGAGATACAGGTATGTTCAGCTGAAGAGTCCTAAATAGGACGAAACAGGAGTATTAGATTCCATTTCTAGTCACATTCTTTTTGTTCTCAATAAACGTTATTGTTGTTTCTTGTTATGATTTTGCTAACTGCAAATTTACGCTGCTATAAACATGATACGTTTTGACTTCACATACCATGTTGTAATCGTTTTGTTCAAAATAACAACATATCGGTAATAAATATATGAAATAGCGAGAATTTTTGTGACCTGGTAAAATCAATACAACATTACAAACCAAAAGTTCCTAGTAATCTTACTATCATTTGTATTGTTAAATGACTATAACACCATTAGATAGTCTATAGGTTAAGCTATCGTGTGCGAGAAAGAAAGTCTTCCATTTGATTCCTATTCTCAAAGTCGTGCATGCCCACTGTTGATGAGTTATATACTAGGATGAGATGGACGTCCAGTACTTTCAGGTTTTCAACAATAGTCTGCTATGGAACCCGTTTTATGATTCCAATGTAGTTCATAATTATTTACGGATTTTAAATCTGTCATCTTATTTTGTTTTTTCTTGTATTAAATGACCTTATCTCTTAACTTGACATCATAAACAACCTAAAACTCAAAACACCTCAGTTCAACTTTAACTACCGCTTAACTCACTAGAATTTTAAAGGTATTCTAATTTTCAGCAAATATTTTAACACGAAGTGTGCTTATAGGCTGGTGAAGTCCTAGATACCAAGTCTATTCAAGAAGTATAATTTAAATACAGTATGGGTATATTACAAATGATTTGGATCACCACTTTAATTTCTCTGTGCTAATGTGATAAAGCAACTTGAACTGATGTACGTACGTACTGAGCTATAAGTTGTAGTAAAAAGAATCATCTTTTAACTTATTTGAACTGCGATCAGTGAAAGTGTAAGTAGAGGCAACGACTAACTGACCTTTATTAGTGGTTTGCATTTTTGACATATATCCCTTGGTTTCATATAGTACTCTTGATAACTTTGCTATTTCTCATTTCATATGAAATTTTTAAAACTTTAAATTTTAGGTATTACTAAAAGTATCAGCGATATGTTTGCTTTCCTTAAGTATCTTACAGTAAATCGAAATAAATAGTTTTGTTTTAATCTATTTTCAAAGACCTTGACAAGAAATATACATAGAGAAACTAGGTAGACTGATGCGAGAGAGTATACGGATACTAATATTATATACGTGAATTAATCATGAGATGAAAAAAGAGTAGTTAAGACTTAGATTTTGAAATACTGCAGGGCATCGCAGTTAAATCTCTACATTTGACTACTTTTTGGTGATTAAAATATTTGGTAAAATTTAACTTAAGTGTAACTCGGCATGGAGAACCTCTGTGGCTACTTCCGATCCCAGGGACGGATAAAGGAGGAGGGTTGATCATGGAGCTGGCGACTTCACGAGGACGATACCCCTTCTGATAATCACAACAACCATTATTTTAGGCACATGGAACATTCGAAACATATTACACCGAGAAATGGAGAGAGATGTCAGAAGAATGAACAAAACTGGATAGAACTGGAAAGGGAACCCCAGGACAGAGCAGGTTGGTGAATACTGGTCGGCGACCTATGCTGCATTGGAGGTAACAGGCGTACGCAAGTAAGTAAGTAATTCAAGTGTAATTTAGTTTAAAGTACATTTTATAAGCAGAATGTTATTTGTCAGAACTATAGTCAGGTAAATGTAAGGTAGTTACAATAACTTATTCAAACAAAAAGGAATATTTATCACTTATTCAATTTTTACCTATTAAGATGATAAATTAACTTTGGGATTTAATAAATCTGAGTTTAAAGTGAAATAAATTTATTTGATTTTAAATAAAAGTTGATAAACAACATTGAAAAAAGTATTGTAGGGTTTATTTCCGATCAAAATTCACTAGTAATAGTAAGTGATCAGACAGTCCATAAAATTACATTTTAAACAATCTATACAAACCATAGACTCCGGAGTATAACTGAACATTATTTAACATCAAAAATAACTATAACAACTAACAAAAGACTTGTCTATTTATTAATTAATTAAATTCGCCTTTATGACTAAATACAATGTATAAGAAGGTTAATTTCTGACTAATGAGTCACATTAAGGCGAAAAATTAAATTCCTTTTGTTACTTCCCGGATTAAAAATGCTATTAACATAAAATTTGCATTGCCCTTGTTGTACATTTTATTTCCGTTGAACTAGAAATTTCAGAAATTTTGTTTTGTTGGCTAAAACTTATCATAAACAAGAGATTTCAGGAGTTTGGCGACCGATACTGTGATGTTACCACATACTGAAACGATGAGTTTTTGTTTTTAGGTAGATGAGCCATTTTCATGTTACCAAAACTGTTGCGATATGAACGAGTTTACTCAAAGTCACTATCTAGTTACAAGCAAAGATGGCATAGATATGCCAGTGAAATGTTTCCAACCACATAAGTAGAGCCAGTTGAAATAATCGCTACAAATCCCGGAATAGTAGAATGAATAACATCATCGGCGTTAGTAGAAAAAAATTGACGTGAAAAGATTCACTGAACGGGCTTAGGACTTAGTGTCTGAGATAAGACGAAGACTCAATTCAACTTAACCATTCAGAATAACTTTGGAACACGTCCTTTAAAGTTTCCAGCCATCGGTGACAATTATCGTACATGCCAAAACTAGCTAGGTTGTAATTTGAGACTCTTCCTAATTTTGCACGATAAACGTTCATTGAATAAATTAGCATATTCCTTGAACCAAGTTGTATAAACCAGTAATATTTTTTGTATCTCTTTATTTCAAATTCGGATAAAAGGTCAATTAAAAGCAATGACAGAACAAAGATATTTATAGTACCGAGTTATAACATCAAGTCGCGTTTTCCTTTGAATAGATGTTTGGCAAAAATATGGACTACTTTCAAAACGCGTAAAGTAAAAATGGTGAAAGGCTAATGAGTCACAACTGTCTGCAATATGAGCTTTAAAACGCTAGTTGACAGAAATAACATTTTATAAAAAATAATCATTCATCATATTTTTTCGGTACCTTGGAAATCGACAATGACATAGGGATCACTTTTCCCAGAGATTTCAACATTTTTCAGGTTATTGGCTTTCTTCACGTTCACATGAAGCGCATACATGTTTCACAATCCAAAATGATGCGCTAGATAATTCTGTCTGCGCAATGACCTTAACAGGTGTTTGAAAGACTTAAACAAATTCTCAAGCTGTGAATCCAGTTTCCTGAATCCTTCTCATCAGTTTATATAAACCAGTCAATTCTTTTGCCCTTGCTTCTGGATTTTTCAGTAAGGTTCCAGGTATCGAGTGATGTCCAGTGAACGGTAGTCTTGTCACTCGACTGATTCTAGTCAGCTGCCATGAACTTGCATGTCCCATGATTTGAATAAGTGCGATTGTTTCAGGGAAGTAGGGTTTCTGGATACCAGTAGCTATTACGTTACTAGGCCGTAAATTTTAATTTCAGTAAGAACAGGAGTATTTCAGTAATATGTAAATGATTGAATAAGTTAATCAGCAGTACAGATTGTGAGAGAAGACTGAGGTGTAAGCAAGGGGAAGGAAACAGAGAAGATGAGTGAGATAGAATGAGTTAGTTATCTGAGGAAACGACAATAACAACAAGAATCAAGTTTCGAGATATGCATCAGACATCTGCTCGAAACGGAATAAGACAATCTGTATGTGAGTAGGTTTTTGTTACCTCTTCTAAGAGAGCACCCCAAATCGCAACGACTCTTAGTGAGAAAAAGTGCCCAAGAAACTCAGTGCTTGCTCCCTGGTGTGCAATTTTTCAAGGATTACCAAAAGGGGCGTGCTGATGTTGGGATGATTCGGTGTGAATAATACGTTGTACGCCATTATCAAATCACTTAGAAGTAATAGTCCCACGTTTTGGAGTCTATATTCGCAAGGTTTGTTCTTCAACCTTATCATCCATTTTGTTTTTCGTCTCTGCACTCGATTCAGGAGACATGTCTGTTTTAAGGTGTGTGGATTCGGCGACATTGAAGACTTCAAGGTGTTTGCATGCGTATACGCTGAAGAGAGTTGATATCAGTTGTGAGATGACTACACCAACTTCCTTCTCTTGAAATGAATGTTTGCGTTAGCCTTGGCTGTTTACTTTATATGGTTTGAGCAGGTGTTAAAGCTTACTGTTGTTATTAGGCAGAGATTGTGCGCCGCAGAGTCATCAGGGAGCGGGATTCCTTTTAGGGTGTGGGTTGTTTGCGTGACGCAGGGCAGAATGTTCAACATATGACATTTGAAATGGTTGGATTTTAACAAGTTTTCTGCTACTTATTTCTCAGTCAGTATGAGGTCATTTCGAATCTCAGTTTAGTTCTGCTGATCTATAATGGGTCTCCACATCCTTGAGTCGTTTCCTTTGATTGGTGCGGCTGAGCTTGTTTTATCTAACAAGTCAATAATGGAATCAGGTTCCATGTAAAAGTCCTGATGCTGAGGTTTGTCAGCCCAAATGCACTGTGTTTACTCACGTATGAAACTTTCTGTTCTTAGGGTAGTTTCCGAGCTAAGATAGGAGTGGATCAGTGAATCCTATCATCGCAACATTCGCTTTCAGGAGTACGTTATGTGCTATATCGAAGGCTTTTGCGAAGCTAAAAATATATTTTGTGAACCTGTATTTTTCTACCTTAGCTCATTTACAAGTCTTTCCATTGTCTCCTATGGTATTTTCAGTTAAGCGACTGGTCTAAATTGAGACAATGAGTATTGCTAACCATCTGTTTATTACTTCTTGATAGGAGCAGGTTTTCGGTCATTTTCCCCACATCATTTGGATTAAAATGTTTCTTTTGGTCAACACTTCAGCAGCCTGTTATACTTTTTGATACTGTAGCAGTATTTCTCAGTATGTACTTAATACTTCAGCTACTTCAGATTCGGTGAGTGCTACATCTGAGGTCTTGTAAAAAGAGCCCCCTGTTTCATGCTTTGATTAAATGCCATCATGGGAGTCGAGGCATTGGAACCGTCTATTTCTTTGAAATGCATTTAAATTCCGTTTCTTAGTATCAGTATTAATATTTTGACTTTCTTCGTGATTAGTTTATCTGGCTATTATGACTGTTTGCTGGAGTGCAGAGTATAAGAGAGACTTCAATTAAAGACTTCACTCCTAATTGGTGTTATCTGGACGGTTGCAATTTAATAATAATTTGTATATCAGGAAATCGGCCAGTGTATTTGTTAACCCGTTTCTGTACTTATAGTAAGTGGTTCAGTAGATTTTCAGTGTACCATATATTCAGACAGACTATGATATCTAATATTCAAGCACAAAAACTTCGTCTGATATTAACTAAGTTAGTATCTCTTGACAATCATGCATGTAAATACAGCAAGATATTTGCATTCGGTTTATCATTAAAAATAAGTGATGAAATTCTGACACCTCTAGGTTATTCTTGCCTTCACGATAAATAAACCTAAAATAATACAAATTTCTACATACTGTGAACCAACTACTTGCCTATTGTCACAGAGTCTCACATGAGTTGACGTCTACTTCTATTGGCAGTTGAAGCATCTAGCCAAATGAGCTTTAAATTTACTGAAACTGGCCATTACGACAAGCCGAAGGTGTTTGAGTTAACGATAGAAGTTAGTTATGAAATGAATATATGTTCTTCCAAAATTCGAATGTTGTACTTGCACTCTATTTCAAAAGTGATAACAATCATTTAAAGCAAGGGAAAAGCTTCCAAATTGAAGCTCTTTAACATCTGCTTTTCAGACGTCAAACTTTAAGTCTAAGCGTCTATAGTTAGAAAAGAGTCGTCAGCTAGACCAAAGGACTACGTGAAATGATGCGCTTTACTCATAAACTAATTTTTTGTGAAAAATCTTGATATTTTATGGAAGCACATCTACCAACGTACATTAATCCAAGCATGATGAGCTAACCGTTTTAATAAAAGACGTTATTTTCATTTATAGAGAACTTGTTGTACTGACTTCTTCAACTTCTTATCTGATCACGAACTCGCAGAAGCTTTTAAAGTTGTTCAAAACGGGATACTATTTAAAAAGTCGCATACAACCTTCTTTCAAGATTATCCCACGAATTCAACTTGCAAGCGAAGGCATTTTTGAACTCTGGTGAGAATTACAAATGCTTCTGTACCTTAAATACTGGGGCTGTTTAAGTGGTAGAAAGCTAAATTTTAAGCATTATATGGATAATATATTACCTTTCCAAGACCACTGTTAGTAGACTGGTACAGTAAATAAAGTAATTGGAGCTAGGTCAATTTAATATTCTTAAGATTCAAAAAACGACTCGTCGTACGAGGTAACTTGTTACATGATTCATTAAATCCTAGGATGAATTTCTGTAAATATAAAATTGATTATAAACGAACCATAATCCGTACAGAACTCGAGGTGACTTTAGGCAAAAATATAATATTTATCTGAACTCAAAAAAACACTGGACTACCTTTCACAATCCTGCAAATACGAGAAGAAGCTGTTAATATATAGTGCATTTTTTATGTCGCATTGTTTCAAACGCAAGAAGTAAAGTCAACCCAAGGTTACTAGGAATTATGGTCTCCACTGGACAGCTAGAATGCAGCTAGACCATCTGGACTTCGCAAATGACCTGGCTATTCAATCGCACACGCTACAATAAATGCAACAGAATACAGCCAGTGTAGCGGCAGCCTCGGCAGCAGTAGCAGGTCTCAACCTACATAACGGGAAAAGCAAGATTCTACGATACAAAACAACATGCGTCAACCAAATCACCTTTCATGGACAGGATTTGGAGGATGTGCAAACCATTACATATCTGGGCAGCATCATCGACAATCAAGGTGGATCCGATGCAGATGCGAGGGCGCGAATCGACAAAGCAAGAGCTGCATTTTTACAATCAAATAACATCTAGAACTCCGGAAAACTGTCAACAAAAACCGAAATCAGGATTCTCAATACAAATGTCAAGACGGTCCTACTGTATGGAGCGGAAACTTGGAGATCTACGAAAGTCATCATCCAGAGGACTCAACAACGTACTGTGGGAGTGAACCAACCAAACTCCAGCGAAGGAGGAAAGTAGGGAAAAGCGGTGGAATTGAATAGGACACACTGCGAGAAGCACCCAACTGCGTCACAAGACAAGTCCTTTCTTGGAACCCTCAAGGTAAAAGAAAAGAGGAAGGCCAAGAAATACATTACGCCGAGAAACAGAGCAAGATTCGAGAAGAATGAACAAAAATTGGATAGAATTGGAAAGGGGAGCCCGAAATAGAGAAGGCTGGAGAACACTGGTAGGCGGCCTGTGCTCCATTGTGGGTAACAGCCGTAAGTAAGTAAGCACACTAACATCGTACAGTCTCTCTATTTATACAGTGATAACAAATGTGAGCTAATATTTGACCGTAACCAGAACTGTTACGAACGAACTTATCACATCATCATACTCATTCATTTGAGACTGAAAGCTATGTTTGTAGAAATAGACAAACCCAGAAGAACCGCAGAGAACTCAAAAATTGTTTCATCGTCTCAAATCTATCTTGGTTTCGAAAACACATAGGGAATCGGATATTTTCCACCAGTGCAATTACGATGCATTGGAGCCAACGAGTCTCAACATTGGGAGTATGGTATGAAACCACTGCACGTTCATTCCTCTACCTGATCTTTATTAATGACCTTCTGGACAAAGTTAGCGTGACGTCCCTTAATTTGTGCGGAAGACGCAGTCATTTAGATGTTAATAAAAATTCCAAGTGACTCACTTGAGCATCAAAAGAACTTTGTCACAATTAGTGAGTGGAAACTAGACAACAGATTGACTTAAGTATTTTATTAATCCTTTTGGACGTCAACTCGTTGGTTTAGAAGTCAACAGTTCGTGAACAAGACCGAGGAACTTGAGTTAGATTATCGCTTTTCAGATCCTTCGATGAGCCCTTTTGAAGAGTTCTACACTGGGACAAAAACACTGTTCAGTGCTTCTAGGTTTCTAGTAATGATGTAACTAAGGTAAGTTGGTGATTATAAAATAGACAACAGCCTAAAACATGTCAAAATATCAAGTTATGAACATTCTATCTTTTATGGTATGAGAAACTTTAATCTTTCGTAGAAGCTCACCCCTAAATGCTTTATTTGAGTACTGTCTCGGTCTAATAACCACAGAGAGCATGAACATAACCTCAAACTACTTAGCTAATGCACTCAGGGCGAGCTCTACGCATAACTTTGTGAGAAGACAACTAGATGGAATAATTCCAAAAGTGTTCCTAATATTTTTAAAATATATGCGGCCAAACGGAATAGTCCTTGGTATTGTGGCATCTGCCAGTATCCAGAAACTCTACAGCCGTGAAATAAACTCACCTCATCACATTGCAAGACATTTAAATGAGTGCAGCCGAGAGGTTAAAATAGCATCCAATTAGAATGAATTTATATCTGGAATCGCAGCAAACAAGAATAAGCAAGTACGATGTAATCAATCAATTTATACTAACTTGTGATACAGATATTAGACATTCGGCATTGAACACATTCAGAATTGCGCGATAACTCTTAGTTGTCTCTACATGGTCGGTATCTGGGCTTTCGTTCAAGGACCCGCAATAATGAATGACAAAAATCAGTTTTCCACTGTAATCATAGTCTGATAAGGGTTTTATAGTTTTATCGCAAAAGTTGGATGATACATCTAATGTTTTAATATCAGTTACTCATATATCTTCTTAATTGCTATCATTGAAATGAAGTTTCAGATATCTACATAATTTACTAGTCTTACAATGACCTTAGTAAATAATTTTGACAGTGCTAAGGAGATCAAATCAACCGGGAAACGCAGGATTAAGGGGTTTTACTTATTTGAGAGATGCTCTGGAGGTATACTTAACCTCAAATTTGATTCAGAAGTGTTGGAATCATTTTACTATAAATGCACGTACCCGAGCTCTCGTGGGAGATTCCGTTTTGGTGCTGCGCTAACAACTTTCCTGTCGGCCGTTTGGTTGTTGTATTTCTCAATCTTACAACATCCTAGTTGTTTAATGTACAGAATCGGATTTAGTCTTGGTGTTGTAATTTCAATTACTTATTTCTTAACGAGCTTCATCGACAAAATCTTCAGACCCCGAGCTATTTTAATCAGTGGAAGTCATGCATGGTTTTCATGCTTACTGGGCTTGCTTTCGTTTATTCCATCGCAACCTGGTGCTACTTTGGCTTTTAATCTCAGCTTAATTCTACAACTCGTATTAATCACATATACCATGGCTCCTTTGCGCTTATGGCAGCTGTTAGCAATATGCGGGCCTGTCAGTATCTTGCAAATAGTTTTAGCAAGTGTGAGGTATGGTCAAGTCCCAGGCTGGTTTGTACTATTGTTTTTCGTCGGTCATTTGTGCGTTCATTTGATTGGAATTAATCTTCACTTGATGTCTCAAGTAAGTCCACTTTATCGTAATATCCTTTTATAACTCCTGAACTCAGTTTGATGTTCAAAAATTTATGAATTTCGTGGTGGCATTTTACGCTTTTAAAAAAAAAACATTTCGATTTAATAACTTGTTTTTTTTAATTTTGGCTGTACTCACATTACGAGGTTATGGTTTTTTCCAAAGACGATTTTAAAAAGTGCTCTTGTTAATCATTACTTTTTTTGAAAAGGAAAACAAGGGTTTTTTTGGCATTTTACAGAGATTCTAAGTCGCATTCGTCAATCGCTTTCATTACGTTAGTCTCACTAAATTTGATCTTGATGGATCTGTATATACAGTTTTAAGCCAGGTAATTAACATCGCTGAATAGTAAAAACCTACCATAGGTCCTTACCAACACTGGCGTGTAATGCCTTGATCCTATTGTGGTGACTAGATCAAACAACTATTTGTTTTGAAGTCTGACTATTAATCGAATCCCTATGAAACTCTACTAACTGTTCTAAAGTTCCAGATCTGTATTTGTAAAATCTTGTCTTTACTTTTGTTAAAACAACTAACTTTTATGAATCAAGTGACTATTATATTTTTTAATATTAGTCCACGAAGAAATGATGCAGTAAGTAGAATGCAAGAAAATGAAGTCTTTATATTTGCCTTAGTCAAAGACTAGCTAATGGAAGATGCATACTAAATATGTTAAGTCTAATAGTGTTAATCGTAACAAGTTAACTGTTAATTGCAACAATAAAGATGATTATATGTGTTTAGATCGAAGGAACATAATCCATGTAGTGTTTATCAACTGATTATCAACAAACAAAGACGCATAAAATCAATGAGGATGGTATTATTTTACTTTCTTTACTTCAAACTAAGTTCGGTACGATTGAGCTTCAGAAATAGTGTGCACCACAGTGTGAACAAAAAACTAAAGTAAAGTCTAAACGGGCCTCTGTTCTGAGCCTCTTCTGATTATGTTCCAAGCCATTAAGTTGCACCATCTTAGGATGGGTCGACATATTAGTTTTATGCAACTTTCTTTAATACCATGGCTGCAATTCAAAAATAATCCAACTCCAACTTTCTCACTCAGTCTCGGCTTAAGGAAGTGATGCACAATATGGTGGCCACTGGTGTGATATCAGTGCGAAATATCCAAGCCATCGAAATTAGTGTTTACAGATGGTGACACCCACTGAGTTATCGTCACTATGGCTGAATGCATATTGCCGAATCTAAGCATTATGAACATAGTGTTAACATGGCGTTGCCTCTGGAGTTCAGTAATTCTTCGGAAAAACCTGTGCTTCAACACAGATAGTTATCGAATATATTGGATTCGGAAAGGTCAGTTTTAGCAAGCATAGAGCAGAACTACTCAAACTAGCGCGTTGTTGACTTGATGTTATACAGATAGACTAACATCACAGCTGCACTGAAAATGGTCTAGATTGGGTTTTATAATACAGAGACTATTCTGGTTATTCACAATACCACCTGGGTCCACACAACTACTCAGATACACGCGCTTTTCTACTACTTCTAACTTGTCATTACCAAGAGTGGATGTATATATAGACCCCTATCAGTCTTGAATAAGTACTTTATATTTTAGGAAGGATGAAGTACATCCCGTACTTTCGGGCACTGATCAGTAACTGATTAAGTGTGATTTGCATAGTTTGAGTATCATTCACATAAAACTATCGAGAAGTCTGTGTCCATTTAAAAGATCCCCTCCACAGCTACCTGTTTCGATCATAGCTGTTTCCAAATTGTCTTCTATGACAAAGGTGAAGAGAAGTGGTAATATTTGACGACCGTACCTAACTGCACTTTTTGAACAGAACAAGGGAAGGAGGTGGCTATTTCCATTCACTTCAATTCCGGTGTTTGTGAATCGAGCCTTCAAGATGTTAGTAAACTTCTCAGGTACACCCTTTAATAGACAATCCTAGGATAATTCTGTTCAACGATTTAAGTCTGTTACAAATCCAACTTCGTCAGGTGGATCAGTAGTCGCGAACCACATAAGATATAGTGCAGTTTGGTCGACGTCTCTAGTTCAATAGACCGATCAATCCGTACCTCAAAGTGCTCTGTCTAAGATTTTGAACGCTTTCGGACGTTACTAAGTGACATGCCATCAGCTTCACTGATTGCTTTACTCAAATCTAACTTCATATTGCCTGGGGCTCTGATGAGTTTAGACAGTTTCTCGGAGTTACGGGATACAGCTATCGCTTTCAGTTCTTTAACATTCTTCCACCACTCGTTTTCTCGGTTCTTACTCAGGCTTCGTCAAACTATCAATTCATCGGTACATACGGGCGTACTTCGTTAAGTTATGAGGAAAGTGATGACCAGCACTAATCAAACCTCATAAATTCACATTTTCCATTTCACTGTTTAAAATGATTCGAATGGTACATAAATTTCGGATACAAGATAGTTATAGATCTGTATTAATGTCTGTATTTGAGCCATGACTAAAGTTGATCACAATTATTTCATATCGCTGTTAATTTCTTTTGATTAGTAATTTCACTTGTAGACAGCCCGACCGTAGCTGCTACCTTGACGTGGTGGTCGGGCTTGCCTGTCGTGATGACACAACCGAGCTATACTGGCTGGAACAAATGTTCCTGCAGGTCCTACCATGCCAGGCAGGTCGATTGGAGAACGACGAGACTAAAAGCAGCTACCCAAGGTCTGAGGGCGAAGTCGTACTGCTGACTGTAGAGGGGTGTGACAGCAGTAAGGTGTTTCCCTTGGATAACCAGCATCTGCAACGATGCTGCCTTCTCACAAGGAAGGAAGGGTTAGAAAAGGTCGACCTCCGAAATGTCACACCTCACCCTACCTCACGGATTTTCGTCTCCCTGGGTAAGGGTGCCCACTAAGGGCCTTTAAGAACGGAGCTAATCCTCAAGAAACCTTTAACAAAAAGGCCGTGCGTGAACGGCCTCAAGCAGTTGTCCATTGGGCTCTGCGGTCACGCACCAACACTAATCTATCTTCCTTTTCAGGTCCCTCAAGAAACAACCTTCCACGGTGTGGGCAGCCGGGAAATGACAACCGCCCTCATACCCGTAACAGCACGCGAGACCAAATTGGTCAAAATCAAATCCTACACCCCCTAATATCTCTCTTATTTCTACGACTAACTCTACTCACATTCCCTTTTCTGACTGCACCGCTAATGCAGACGAAGCAAGTCCACGAAACGTCGTTCCTGGTCTCTTGAAACCCCGTTCTAGACTACATTGGTTAGAGTCCTTGAATGACATGGCTCAAAACCGTTCGCAATGGCGCAGGTGCATTTATTCTTTGCGTTTCCTCAAATCCTAATCTTCCGGATTCTTCAACACCTCTAGTTTTGTCTTTCTAAACTTTTCTCACTGAATCATACTTCTTAAATAATATCTTCTAATCCTAACCTCTTCGATTACTTCCAATACCTTACCTACCTCTACTACTATTGGATTTGAATTGACAATTACATCTGTGTTTGCTAATGTGGTATGGCAACTTGAAATGATGTACGTACCTACGTACGAAGTTCTACGTTGCATCTGACTGACTGACAGCAATGAGTTTTTACTGGTCTGTATTAATTCCTAATAAGAAAATAAAATGATAATATCGAACGAAAATGTGTCGATACATTGCAAATTTAAATGACACTAACTTGCATTTACTTGTAGTTCGTTAGTAATTTTTTCTTCTGTCTTTCTGATAAATTGTGTTTTTTTTTCGCACTTTTTATTAGTAATGTTGCATTTTTTACTACAAAAAAACAACCAATAGGTTTGGCGTCGATCCACATTTCTACGTATGGGTTACAACGCTTTAATGCGTAAAGCATTAAAAAAAGAACAAGAAATACGTGATGATATGATACGTTCATTAATGCCTAATCAAGTTGCTCAAGAAGTAATGCGTGAGGTGGGCAATGAAAGCAACATGGAACATGATGACACTAATGATGATGATGATGTTGATGGTGTTGATGATTGTCGACGTTCCAAAAATAAACGTAAAACTAATCATGCATCTACTAAACAACAAATTCATCGTGGAAAATTGAACAAGAAAAAATTACGCAATCAAACCAATCAAATGAATTTACGTGAAGAAGAGTATAAAAGTAGTGGTCTTAGTTATATTGCTGATGGTGAAGATAGTGAATATGACAATGAAGTGCAAGCTTTGAAAAAGGCGAATTCTGGTAGTAATTGTGAACAACAACAACAACAATCTGTACAACAAGGTTAGTTTTATAAAATAGGAAATCAGTTAATATTATTATTGGTGAAAATAATGTTAATGTAGTGTATTTTTGAACCAGTCACAATTAGTATTCCTTATAGTATGGGTGGATGCGAATCATGGCCAATCAGAGTAGCAGATATTCGTAGATTACTGGTTTTCGATCATCAGTCAGATGTCAGTCAGATGCAACGTAGAACTTTGTACGTAAGTACATCAGTTCATGTCGCCATACCACATCAGCACAGAGATGTAATTGTCAATTCAAATCCAATGGTAGAAGAGGTAGTAAAGGTATTAGAAGTAATCGGAGAGGTTAGGATTAGAAGATATTATTTAAGAAGTATGATTCAGTGAGAAAAGTTTAGAAAGATTAGGATTTGAGAGAACACAGAGAATAAATGCACTGGCGCCATTGCGAACGATTTTGAGCCATGTCATTTAAGGTCTCTAACCATCGATTATTATCACCTCGCGGACCCCAACCAGGTAGTCGACAGTTACCGACATGGTTAAGTCCACTCGTCAATGATTTCATGGATTTTTGCCAGGTTTTGGTCTGGCCGCCCCTAGCTTTCTTCCAACCTACTCCTACACTACAAAACAAAGCTCGTCGAGGCAGTCGGTGGTTAGGCATACGCAGCACATGTCCCAACCACCTCAACTGATGAAGTTTCACCACTTCATCTATTGATCTGCCATTCTTACCTAGCACTCGTTTCCTAATAACAGCGTTGCTCACTCGGGTGTCCCAGGATATACGAGCAATGCTTCGAAGACACCTATGATCGAAAACCAATAACCGACGAGTATCTTCTACTCTCACTGGCCATATTTCACAGCCATAAAGTAAGATGGAGCGAACTACTGCGCAGTACACTTGTCCTTAAGTCAGCAAACGGGTATCTCGCCTTCGCCATAGGTGACGCAGGTTGGCAAAAGCCAATCGAGCCTTCTGTATCCGTGCTGAGATTTCGTCAGTCACCAGGCCATCGGCACTGATGAGACTCCCGGTTTTGTCTCATTTGGTTTTCGATCATAGATGTCTTCGAAGCATTGCTTGTGTATTCTGGGACAACCGGGTAAGCAATAAGGAACGAGTACTAGGTAGGGATAGTAAATCAACAGATGAAGTAGTGAAACTTGATTAGTTGAGGTGGTTGGGACATGTGTTACTCATGCCCAACCACTGACTGCCTCGATGAGCTATGTTTTGCGGTGTAGGAGTAGGGTTGGAAGAAAGTTAGGGGCGGTCAAACCAAAACATGGCAGAAATCCATAAAGTAACTGACAAGTGGACTGAGTCATGTTGGTAGATGTAGGCTACCTGTTTAGGTTCCGTGAGGCGAAAGTCACCGATGGTTAGAGATCTTGAATGACATGGCTCAAAATCGTTCGCAATGGCACAGGTGCATTCATTCTTTGGCTTCTCGCAAATTCTAATCTTCTGGATTCGTCATCACCTTTATCTTTTTCTTTTTAAGTTTATGTCACTAGATTCTACTTTTTGAATAATATCTTCAAACCTTAATTTCTCCGATTACTGCTAATACTTCTACTACTATGGAATTTGAATTGAAAATTACATCTCTTTGTGCCAATGTGGTATGGGAAGTGGAACTGCTGTACTTACGTATGGACGAAGTTCTACGTTGCAACTGACTGACTGACTTATTAATTTGTCTTTTATTTGACTTATGTCTTCTAGGAATTAATAAACTGGTTTAAACGATTTTATTCTATTGTCTTTGTTATTCTCCACTTCAGTCATTCAGAAAAACAATTTAACTAACATGATAGTTGTACATCTGTTGCTTCTAATCCTAACCTCTCCGATTACTTCTAATTCCCTTACTACCTCTTCTACTATTGGATTTGAATTGACAATTACATCTCTCTGTGCTGATGTGGTATGGCGACATGAACTGATGTACTTACGTACGAAGTTCTACGTTGCCTCTGACTGACTGGCATCTGTTGAATAAACTTTCTAGCGATGTTTTTCTACTCACCTTAATTGACTATAATACACAGTATATGTGTATTGTTTAAATGAATAATTTCAACAAGTTAAAAATTTATCGCTTATTTATATCTATCTATCTATCTATATGTAAATTAATTCATTTTCAGATGATTTAGAAATGAATTTTACTGGTCTCAATAATAGTCAACGATGTAGTTTAATCTCGAAAACAGCTGTTGTTGTACCTCCAGCACGTGCTGTTGCATTTCGAAAATTTCATGTGAATCAATTAGAAAATGTTAGTGTATTATTTGCTGATATTGTTGGTTTTACTAAAATGAGCTCAAATAAATCTGCATCACATCTTGTCTACTTATTGAATGATCTTTTTGGAAGGTAAGTTTAATGATTTTTGACTTAAATGGTAAGGTAGATAAAAGTACTAATCTCATATTGGAATTTTTGGTGACTTTCATATTTACTATTAATTTGATAAGCAACTTATTTATATGATTTTAATTGTAAGTTTTTGTTTATGAGTAGCAGCGTAGACTTCTAAAGAATATGAATTTGATTGATCAGTGTGTTATACTTTTCTTAAAAACAAGAAAGATTGGTTCAATCAATCAATCAATAGCAACGTAGAACTTCGTACGTACGTACATCAGTTCATGTTCCCATACCACATTAACACGCAGAGATTCAGTTGTCGATTCAAATCCAATAGTAGTAGAGGTAGTCAAGGTATTAGAAGTAATCAGAGAGGTTAGGATTAGAAGATATTAATCAAGAAGTAGAATCTAGTGAAATAGACTTAAAAAGATGAATTGACGAAGAATTAAAAAGTTTACGATTTGAGAGAACACAAAGAATGAATGCACATGCGCCATTGCAAACGATTTTGAGCCATGTCATTCAGGGTCTCTAACCATCACTTACTAACATCTCGCTGACCCCAACCACGTAGTCGACACCTACCAACATGACCCAGTCCACTTGTCAGTGACTTCATGGATTTCTGCCATGTTTTGGTTTGACCACCCCTAGCTCTCGTCCAACCTACTCCTACACCGCGAAACATAGCTCATCGAGGCAGTCGGTGGTTAGGCATATGTAGCACATGTCCCATCCACCTCAACTGATCAAGTTTCACTACTTCATCTATTGATTTGCCATCCTTACCTAGAACTCGTTTCCTAACGACAGCATTGCTTATACGGTTGTCCCAGGATACACGAGCAATGCTTCGGAGACACTGAGATGGTGGAGAAAACTTGTAGCTCAGGTGAATGATTGTGGTGGTGTTTCGTTCTCTGAGCTCAGAGAACGAAACACCACCACATTTGGAAACACTGATGATCGAAGACTAGTAACCTACGAAAATCCTCTACTCTTAACGGCCATGTTTCGCGCCCGTATAGTAGGACGGAGCGAACTACTGCACTGTACACTCATCCTTTGGTTAGCAAGCGGATATCTCGCCTGCGCCATAGGTGACGCAGGTTGGCAAGAGCCAATCAAGCCTTCTGTGCCCGTGCTGACAGTTTGCCATGAGCTCTCACTCGACCAGTGGTGTTCGAGTAGAGAGCTTGTATGAGGTTAATGTACTTCTTAGAAAGATTGGTTATGTGAAGAGTTGTCTTTTTGACAACTCGGGCGTTCATCATGAAGATTGATGACGAAATTATAATCGGGACGGGAAGGTTCAACATGATAAAATGAAATGTTAAAATTAAGATGAACTATAATCCGAAGAATCCTAGAAACAGGAAAAATTAATAGAAAAGAAGTGATGTGTCTAGCAGTGGAATCTAAGACGTGCGTTTAATTCTATTTTAAACTGGTCAGTTAGATGTTCCTGTATCTTAAGGTTGATGTTCATTCCAAGACTTAAACTGAATAACATTCGTTTCAAATGCCATCGCGTTATCTAGACAATCTGTATGGGATTCTCATATGACAACCAAGACTGATCTAATTTCAGTCAAAATATCAGAAAAACGGGATAATCCAAGGTTTTCCAAATTAAAGTATACAAATCAGTTTGGGCTGAAAGGTGTATAAAAAAGCAGATGATTCTTAGGGAAGAAAAGTAAGAAAAGATCTTTAGTGAGATATTAAGACCATGGTAGGAGATGTTGTCCAAGTTTCTTCTGTACATGTAATTCTGGTTCTTCCAGATATATAGCAAGTGCTTTGACAATGCTATGAAGATGGCAGCTAACTAACTACTACTGGCAGCTTTCTATTCACCTTATAAATGACTTTCGACACAGAATTCGTCTTAATCAAACAACCGGTGTTCACAAGATGTTCGATTACTTAGTCAACTCCTCTTCTTTCCAGCGAAGTCAAATAATGTTCCGAAGTTCTTTTGGATGAAATACGCATCAAACAACCTATATACTTAGTTCCGTATGAACAGGCTAATTGATAAATGCACATGCAGTTGATCGAATAAGATAATTTACCTTTTAGATTATTGTTGAACATCGGTTGGTTTGATGGCGAATCTATAGAGGAAGTAGTGAAACTTCATCAGTTGAGGTGGTTAGGACATGTGTTACGTATGTCTAACCATCGACTGCCGCGACGAGCTATGTTTTGCAGTGTAGGAGTAGATTCGAAGAAAGCTAGGGGCGGCCAAACCAAAACATGGCCGAAATCCATGAAGTCAGTGACAAGTGGACTGAGTCATGTTGGTAGATGTGGGCTACCTGGTTGGGGTCCGCGAGACGATAGTCACCGATGGTTAGAGACCTTGAACGACATGGTTCAGAATCGTTTGAAATGGCGCAGGTGCGCATCCACTCTTTGTGTTCTATGAAATTCTAAGCTTCTGCATTCCTCATAATCTCTACCTTTCTCCTTCTCAATTTATCTTACTGAATTATACTTCTGGAATCATATCTTCGCTCCCTAATCTTCTCTATTGCTGCTTATAATTCTACTATCTCTATCACTCTTGAATATAAACTGACAGTTGCGTCTCTGTGCTGATGGGGCATGGCAACCTGAACTGATGTACTTATGTACGAAGTTCTGCGTTGTATTTGTCTGTCTGTCTGTTGGCCTGAAATAACTAGTCGCAAAGTTACTACGAATAACGTTTTGTCGAAAAAAAAATCAGAAACTCTGCTCTTCTGTATGTCTTTTATCGTCCAGACAAATTATTGTTAGTTAAGTGTAGGTCACATCAGTTTTTTATGTCAGAATATAATTAGTATGCACTCACTAAAAAAAAAATATTTTAAGAATTACGGTGTGTAGTGCACTTATATTTTACCCATGTAAACACGTGAATAATGAATAGGAATATTAAAAGTACTTGTGATCAGTCATATGACTTATTATTCTAATTGGAGGAGACTTTAAAAAAAAAAGTGATACACTTGTCTTACTTATTGATAGTGTGAAGAAACAGTAACAGAGTACGAATGAATTGATTAGCAATACTAGTATAGGCAAACTTCACATAATATAGTTATCTTATCTTAACATTTTTATTGGCTTAACATTTCGGTTGTCAGTTCGATGTTTATCATAATCTTCACCGATGGTTAGAGACCTTGAATGATGTGGCTCAAAATCATTTGCAATAGCGCAAGTGCATCCACTCTTTGTAGTCTCTCAAATCCTAATCTTCTGGATTCGTCAACACCTCTACGTTTGTCTTTCTAAACTTATCTCAAATGAGTTATACTTCTTGAATAGTATCTTCGAAACCCAATCTTCACTATTACCTGTAATACTTCTACTGTCTGTACCACTATGGGATTTGAATTGACAATTGCGTCTCTGTGTTGATGTGGTATGGCAACCTGAACTTATGTACTCACTTATGTACGAAGTTCTACGTTGTAACTGACTGACTGGCTGACTATAATAGTCAGTTCGACGGCTTACTGACATACTTAAACCTGTTACCTCCAATAGAGCACATACCTTCTTCGACCAGTATTCTCTAATCTACTCTGTCCTGGGCTTCCCTTTTCAGTTCTGTCCAGTTTTTGTTCATTCTTCTGATATCTGTCTCCATTTCTGGTCATAGTATGTTCTTTTGCCTTCCTCTCTTCCTTTGACCTTGAGGGTTCCAAGCAAGGGCTTGTCTTGTGACGCTAAGGTTACTACTTACTTCAAAACTTTCTGTTCAACAATCAGTGCTACTGGCCATGTACATTTTTCTGTTAGAATGTTGTTAAAATTATCATTTTGGAAAGCAAATTTTTATGTATGGTGAATTGTGAGAATCCATAGAGTACATAATAATATTCTATTTTATTGATTTGACTATCTAAATTGACAATACATTGTTTAGTGATTAGATTGATCTAATTTTAATTAATTTCATAATTATTAATCCTTATGAATTAAAAAAAGGCTTCCTTGTCACTTTCTTTTCCATAAACATCTATAGACTTGAATTTGGTTACCTGTCAATAATTGTAATATCAACTGGATAGGTTGATCTTGACAACTAACTGTTCTGTTTCAGTTTGAAACTCATCTTCAGTAGTTCATGAGCTTAGTAACCTCCACAAATAGTTTTCCGGGGTACACGAACAGGACGAAGTCGCACTGCTGACTGTAAAGGGATGTTGCGTCAGTAAGGTGTTTGCATCGGACAACCAGCATATGCAGCAATGCTACCTTCGCACGACTGGAGGAAGGAGTTGGAAAAGGTCGACCCTAGATCGTGGCACACCTCACCTTACCTCATGGATTTCCGTCTCTGTTGGTAAGGCCTTTTGAAAAGCAGAGCTAACATGTTAGACACTTACCATAAAAAAGCCGTGCGCGACCGGCCTCAAGCGGTTATCCGATGGTCTCGGCAGTCAGGCTCTCAGATCGCTATAGCCAACACTAATCTAACTTCCCTCTCAGATTCTCCAAGAAATACTCTTCCATGGTGTAGGCACCTGGGAAGTGACATCCATCCTCATACTACTAACAGCACACGATATTAACTTGCTCACAGTCAAGTCCTTTCGCTATCTCTTAATAACTCTCTTATCTCTACGACTAACCCTTGTCGTATATCCGGTCTCCTGAAACCTCTCTCTAAACTGCTGGTGCTGTTGGTGCTCTTAATGTTTGAACCTTGTACCGAATAGGACAATAGGTTTCCTTAGCTAGGGCTCTAGAATCTCGTGCCATTGATGTATGCTACCTTTCTGAAACGCGCATACAGGATCCGAGTACAGTAATCTATTTGACTTCACCATGTCAAAACCAAAAACCGTTGGGATTTAATCTCCATGTATCTTGAAACCTCACTACTGCTTTTTATTACCTTAAGTTCTATTTTTTCTTGATCTAGTAGAGGCATTTCAATACATTGAATTAATCTTTGATGTTTAATCCATCATTATCGGTGTTTGGTAGTTGTAGGTGTGTTAAGTTTGCATTCATTGAGAATGTTATTTACAATTTTGAGATAACTCATAGTCGTTCGGTCAACTATTTCTTTTCTGAATATTAAAAATATTTTGCTATACAATTTGACGAAACAGATAAGAATGTTGTCCGGTTGCGCGGTCTTAGTGTCTGTGCTCTATTCGAAAGGAAATACTCAACTCGTTCGGTGGGTACTTTGCTGTGAACCATTCTCAAAGTGTGAAGGCTAACGCTACCGTCTGGTTGCCTAAACTTGCAGTATATACAGAGCTCAGTAGTAGTGTATGGTATGTATTTTCAGTTCGTTTTTTCTTGCTATTCTTCTTCTTTGTAGATTTGATCGTTTATGCGAAATTATTGGGTGTGAAAAAATTGCCACTCTTGGTGATTGTTATTATTGTGTCGCTGGTTGTCCAAATCCAATCGATGATCATGCTGAACGAACAGTGGAAATGGGTAGAGCAATGTGTTTGGCTATACAACAATTTGATGAAGATCATTCTGAGGAGGTGAGTGAGAGGTTCTCTACAAATATATACGTTTCATTGAATGTATAACTTCTATTTAGTTTTACCCCGATGCCTGGGTGAAATCGTAAACAACTGAATAATGTTAGATCACCATTTGGAACCTGGAAGCAATGGGTGTCTATTTCGTCTTGTCATCAATCTCCTCAACACTGCACATCCACGACCCTGTATACACGAATCGAACCTAGAACCTTCTGTCTGCCAAGCGGACGCTTAATCTCTAGATCACTGAGTCGGGATCCGATTTCAACCAATCCATGGTATTGCGCGACCTCGTCCACTGTCTTTAGTGGGCAGCTGCTTCATACCCGATATGGATTAAACTCCAGTGGTCACCATTGTTTCTCACTGGAACTCCGACTAGCTTTGTGAAGGGAAATAGTTCAGTTATGCGGGTCCACATTTAAAATATCTTAAGTTATTGTTAGAATCATTATTCTGCAATCTTTTTATAACCAGTTTCCACTCATTCCAATTAGTTCGCATCTTTAATAACTTACTTTAGATGTGGAGATTCTATTTGACATAAAAAGAAATACTTTCATACTTGTTTCTTAATATATCAGTTAAACGTCTGATATCAATCATTCAGTCACCATCACTATAGTAGTAGAACCTGGCACAAATGTGTGTTGGCCCAAGTTACCATATTAACACAACACGATACAATTAATAAGATGCAAAGTGAGGAAAATCGGAATATGATAGTAGTAATCTGTTATCATCATTTATGGTTCTGTTAGTACACTGAGTAGTTGAGTTTTACCTCAAATTACATCATCAGTATCATTTCTTAAGAAAGCTAATATTTACTTGGGAAAGATTTACGCAGCAGTATTTACTAGTAACCTTCAAATTCGAAGCATTTTGAGCAAACGGTACTGGGTTCGAGTCCCGGAGAAAACACCAACTCTGAGATGCAAGTACGTCTAGCTGACGAATCTCAAATAGTACAAAACGCACGTCCTGGACAGTTCCGCTGCTAGCCGCCGTTTATCTATTCTATATATATTCTTGTTACTATAGGATCCCCATATACCGACTGAGACTGATTAGATTTCAGTCAGAAGAATATCAAGAAACATGAATAAAACAAACCACCATTTCGATTTGAATTAAACTTTCATGTTGTTTATGGTATAGTTAAGAAAAATGCAACTGCTTATCATAGCAAGTTAATCCCAAAATTTCTAACTTAAATTATATAATTCATTTCAAACCTATAAATGTAAGTTCGCTTCTAAATTTAAAGATTTGCGGGAGTGGGAATTACCTTGCCCTCCTATCAATCGTTACGAGCTAACTGGCTTTTATTTCTAGTGGTATATGAGATGTGATCAATACAATTCAACTGTTAATTTGTTCTGATGTTTGTCACCTTGTGCCACTGATAAATCGTTAAGTTGCAATGACCATTATCTTGTTTGTCTAATCTAATTCTGTCTATCAAGTTGCCATGTTTGAATTTTTTTCTGGTTAGCGTTTGTTTATCAAGTTAGTTTTCTACTCGATGAGGCCACCAACCCCATGCCCTACTCTCCTTTATCTGGGCTCGGGATCGGCAGTAGCCCCAGAGGGGCTAACAACGTTAAGTATATGCCCCACTGATTCCTGCCAAACAGTTCGAACCCTAAGTCTAAAAAGGGCTTCTCATCGATTGTCTTCAACCATATATATTAGATTGCTACTTGTTTGAAATTATTCACCGTATATTTATCATTTCAGGTAAATATGCGTGTCGGTGTACATACTGGTAAAGTGATCTGTGGTATTGTCGGAACAAGACGTTTTAAATTTGATGTTTGGTCAAATGATGTTACATTAGCTAATGAAATGGAGTCTAGTGGTGAAGCGGGCAAAGTACACATCTCTGAGGCTACTTTAAGTTTTGTAAAAGATATATATGAAGTTTCTGAAGGAAAACCTGTTCATGGTGAGTTGTATTTTTTTCTATGCGTTGTTATACTTTTCTTTTGTCATTCCATTAAATTTTATGTTACTTTTAGTTTAATGTTCATGGTTTAGTAATTTTGTTAAGTTCTAAGGGATTAGTACAGGACAAGACAGTTATGGAAACTTATGGTTTGGTCACTCCTAGTTTTCTTCCAGCCTACCCCTAAATCAGACAACATCACTTGTCGAGGTAGTTGGTGGTTGGACCATTGGTAACATATTGCCTAAATACCTCAACTGGCGAACATTCACTGCTTCACCAATTGACCTGTCGTCCTTACCTAAGTACCCTTTTAACACCAGCTATGCCTTGAAGACACCTATGATCAAATACTTACTTACTTACTTACGCCTGTTACTCTAAATCGAGCATAGGCCGCCTACCAGTTTTCTCTAACCAACTCTGTCCTGGGCTTCCCTTTCCAGTTCTTTCCAGTTTTCGTTCATTCTTCTCATGTCTTTCTCTATTGCTTGGTGTAATGTGTTCTTTGGCCTACCTATTTTCCTTTTGCCTTGAGGTTTCCAGGTGAGGGCTTGTCTTGTAACGCAGTTAGGTGCTTTTCGTAGTGTGTGTCCTATCCAACTACACCACTCCTTCCTAATTTCCTCCTCCACTGGAATCTGGTTTGTTCTCTCCCAAAGTAAGTTGTTGCTGAGAGTGTCTAGACAATGAATCCGAAGTATTTTGCGTAGACAACTGTTCATAAATACTTGTATCTTCTGGATGATGGCTTTGGTAGTTCTGCAAGTTTGCGCTCCATACAGTAGAACTGTCTTGACATTTGTATTGAAAATGCTGATTTTAGTGTTGATTGATATTTGTTTGGAGTTCCAGATATTTTTCAACTGTAGAAATGCAGCCCTTGCTTTGCCGATCCGCGCCCTCACATCTGCATCGAATCCACCTTGATTGTCGATGATACTGCCCAGATATGTAAAGGTGTCAAAGTCCTCTAAGGCATCTCCATCAAGAGTGATTTAGTTGGCGCATGTTGTGTTGTATCGTAGAATCTTGCTTTTTCCTTTATGTATGTTGAAACCTACTGCTGCTGAGGCTGCTGCTACACTGGTCGTCTCTTCTTGCATTTGTTGTTGCGTGTGCGATAGAAGAGCCAGGTCATCTGCGAATTCCAGATCGTCCAGCTGCGTCCTAGCTGTCCATATGATCAAATACTGGTAACCTACAAATATCTCTTATTCTTAATCGCCACGTTTCGCATGCAGAAAGTAGAACTGCTGCTCCATAAACTTGTTCTTTTATTGACAGAAGGATATCTTGCGCACTCCATAAGTTATACAAGTTAACAAAAGCTAATCGGACCTTCTGTACTTGTGTCGGGACTTCGTCAGACACCAGGCCATCAGCACTGCTGAGACTCTCAAGACAAATGAAGCATTCGACTTACTCTCTATCAATAATTGCAACACTGTCGCAATCTAACCCTAAAGCAACATTTTTCATGTTGAGGGGTAGAATGGTATCCGGAATATGTTTGTAATTCAGTAAATGCTTATCAGAAATGCATAGTTTTTAAGTTAGTTTGATCTGCGATCTGAGTAGCAATTCCATATTCAATCAATAATTTGTACCATCTTTGATTTAAGTAGATTTATCATACTGTTTTTCTCTTTTGCCTTACCATTTTTTAAAATTGTAATACGCATGCACATTAGGTACATTTAAATCACTCCTCCTGTACAGAAAAACATGTCCCTAGTTGTTCTTGATATTTGTGTTGGTATAAGATTCAATCCAGTCTGTTTATTAGCAACCTGGAATACTTTTGGTGTCCTTTTCGTTTGACTAATATCACGTGACACAAACGAAACACCTGTAAGCATACGATCCCATTCTGACAGCTTCTAGTTGGCAGCTAAATCCCTATCGGTTCAGAGCCCATTGTGTTCAAGAGGTCCGTAAATAGCCTCCAGTAATCGAATCGAATAATCTATTTCAAACATACATGGTTTATATTCAGGCATACACTTGACCATAACACACCAATAAATGAGAAATAACCATGATACATGAACCGGCTAAAGAGTATCTGTGAATAGGACAGATTACGAATAATAAACTAGCGATAATAATTATAATAATCCGTAACTTACTTCTAAGAGTCCCCTTCCACGGTGTGGGCAGCCGGGAAGTAACATCCGCCTTCATACTCATAAAAACACACAAGACCGAATCGGTCAGAATCAAATCCTTCCTACACCTCCTACTAACTCTCTTATCTCCACGATCAACCCTTCTGTTGATCATTTGTCATCTCACGCCGCTGAAGCGAACGCTCCGAGCTCACGAAACATTATTCCCGGTCTCCTGAAACCCCTTCTCTAAACTACATATTGAAGCTTTTAATGTTCGAACCTTGTGCCAAACAGGGCAACAAGCTTCATTAGCTAGAGTTCTACAATCCCTTGCAATCGATATATGTTGTGTCTCCAAAACACGCATACAAGATCCTAGTAAAACTATCAATTTGATTTCACCTAGTGCAGATAGATAAACAACACAGTGTACTCTTTGTGTTTCCTGGAAGCCCTGATACTGCTTCCCGTGGCCTAGCTGGTATAGATAGGTATGAGATTCAAAGTGACAGTTACGTCTCTGTGTTAATGTGCGTATAGGATAAATAAATTCGAAATCTTTGATGATTGATATGATTGATGTAAGTTAAAGAAGTTTTTCTCTCTCGATATATAATTATCAATCTCATTTAAGTTTTCATTTTATCTGTCAGTGTAATAAGATTAGTGTTTTGATGTTTAGTTTTTGTTTTGAAAGATTGCATGGTAACATATGGTTTCCCGACCGTAGCTGCTACCTTGACGCGGTGGTCGGGCTTGCCTATCGCGATGACCCAACCGAGCTATATTGGCCGGAACATATGTTCCTGAAGGTTCTACCATGCCAGACAGGTCGATTGGAGAACGATGAGACCAACAGCAGCTACCCAAGGTCTGAGGGCGAAATCGTACTGCTGACTGTGATGGAGGGGTGTGACAGCAGTAAGGTGTTTCCCTCGGACAACCAGCATCTGCAGCGATGCTGCATTCTCATAAGGAAGGAAGGGTTAGAAAAGGTCGACCCTAAAAATGTCATACCTCACCCTACCTCACGGATTTCCGTCTCCTTGGGTAAGGGCTGCCCAATAAGGGATTTTAAGGAGTGGAGCTAATCCTCAAAAAACGTTTCATAAAAAGGCCGTGCGTGACCGGCCTGAAGCAGTTATCCCTTGGACTCTGCGGTCACGCACCCAGGTCTCCAAGACCAACACTAATCTATCTTCCTTTTCAGGTCCCTCAAGAAACACCCTTCCACGGTGTGGGCAGCCGGGAAGTGATAACCGCCCTCATACCCGTAACAACACACGAGACCAAATTGATCGAAATCAAATCCTTCCTACACCCACACATACATCTCTTCTCTCCACAACTAACTCTACTCACAGTCCCTTTTCTCACTGCCCCGCTAATGCAGACAAAGCGAGTTCACGAAACGTCATTCCTGGTCTCTTGGAACCCCGTTCTAGACTTGAAACATGGTCAGTGAGAGTAGAAGATATTCGTAGGTTACTGGTTTTCGATCATAGGTGTCTTCGAAGCATTGCTCGTATATCGTGGGACACCCGAGTGAGCGACGCTGTTATTAAGAAACGGGTGCTAGGTAAGAATGGCAGATCAATAGATGAAGTTATGAAACTTCATCAGTTGAGGTGGTTGGGACATGTGCTGCGTATGCCTAACCACCGACTGCCTCGACGAGCTTTGTTTTGTAGTGTAGGAATAGATTGGAAAAAAGCTAGGGGTGGCCAAACCAAAACATTGCAGAAATCCACGAAGTCATTGACGAGTGGACTTAGCCATGTCGGTAGTTGTCGACTACCTGATTGGGGTCCGCGAGATGATAATAATCGATGGTCAGAGACCTTGAATGACATGTCTCAAAATCGTTCGGAATGGCGCCGGTGCATTTATGCTTTGTGTTCTCTCAAATCCTAATCTTCTAGATTCTTCAACACCTCTAGTTTTGACTTTCTAAACTTTTCTCATTAAATCATACTTCTTGAATAATATCTTCTAATCCTAACTTCTTCGATTACTTCTAATACGTTGACTACCTCTTCTACTATTGGATTTGAATTGACAATTACATCTGTGTGCTGATGTGGTATGGCGACATGAACTGATGTACTTACATACGAAGTTCTACGTTGCGACTGACTGACTGACATATGTATTTTACATTATGTTAGGATATTCACCGAATATCCTAAAAAGAATTTTGTTTGTGAGTCTAATTCTGTTGATCAATTCTTGTAGGTCGTCCTAACTATCAATGTCACAAACTGTAATGTTGTTTCCTTATTTGACCTAACTGTATAAATAGGCATTAGCTGTAATGTTTTATGACCCGGATCCTTAGTCCGGGATCCTGATTCTCTTCTGGACTCGGACCTCTGACTTGCTGGATGTTTATAGAATTCATGTTCTACTTTATATCAAGTCTTCTTCTTCTACACAGTTGGGGGGAGTTGGGATTAGAGTAGCCTATCGTGTCACCGGATCATCGATCCTCTCTCTTGTTTACCCGATTAAGCTGAACTCGTTAGAATTCAAGCATATCAAGTTGATGTGTTGACGTGTATATATGCATAACACATTACTCTAAGTACTATTTTCGTCAATACAATTCAGTTCATCTGTTTCTTCACTATTTTCTTTGTTTTTCTTTAAAACAAATAGATATTCGAAAATTCAAAGTATTAGTTGAATTTTTCAATAAAGAAGAACAATGTTTCGCTATTAAACATACACAAGATGAAGCTAGTAAGTTAAAATTAATCTGTTTTATTATTTTTCTTTATTTTTTGTCGAGTTATACTCATAAATTGATCTTAGTCAAATCATTGTGATATACTCGTCAGTCGATATGCTTGAATACTGTTACGTGTTCACCTTCCTCGGTAAACGGAATGCGCAAGCAATGACTCAGTGATACGATAGGCTATTCTAATCTGTTTGTCACAGGCCCGGCTAACTATATGAAGAAGTTTTGATAAGGCATAGAAAGTGTATTCTACATACACCGAGAAAATACGTGGTCAACAAGCATACAATGATAGCAACGCTCTTGGGAGAGCCACAAAGCAGCGTACTGAGGTCATCCATCAACCAATGACAGTCAAGGATTTTCCGAGTGGGTAATGTGAGCTGAAGGTTAACTGGCACGAAATTCAAAGAATAAAATTCCAAAATTAGGACCTTGTCAAGTGAGTTCTGGAGATCTTGTAGTGGCCCATTTCGACGTCGCGCTCACCATTATTATGTACACTGGCGAGCGAATGAGCGACTGAAGCGAATCGTATGGAGCAATGTGGAGAAGCAGTGAATAAATCGAGTGAAGCGATGTGGAGAAGGCTAGCGAGCCAACTCAAAGAGATAGATCATGACTAAGAATATATAGTCAGACAAATATAAGACAGACATGCAACAAGCGAAATAGGCACACATGAATAAAAGCGACGAATAGTTGACAAGGTTAAATGACAAGTGGGACACGTCACATGAGCTCATACAAACCAGACAATAATAAGAACGATTGGTACATACAAATTGTTGCAATACAAATGGCTTGGTTAAATAAATTAATCGAAGGGGCTTAACCCAATTAAATGTAATCGAACTGGAATATATGTGGAGGCACTACAATCTAATGTCCTTGACACATTGAAAACCTGGAAACACTAGACGACTGTTTCGTTGTAGTATGGCACTTCTCAGCAGTGCACTCATAAGACTGAAATTCCCCCGATTCGATTCCCGCAGGCGGGTTGTGTAGATGGATGTGAATTGCTGAGGAGTCTCATACTAGGACGATAATACTTTCCAGTGATTCTAGGTTTTTAATAATGGTCTAGCTTAGATCACTTGATAATGATTTCAACTGTGAAACAGTTTTATTATCAAATGAACTATTCTCATTTGACGGTGGTTCTCTCCATAGATTGTGATATATATAAGCTAAACGTTTTTTTTTCAATTGAAAATTAGCGTAAATTAGTTAACTTCATGACTTCATGTCTATATCGAAGCCATCTACAGGGACTGTTGTCAAATTAGACTCATTATTTGCAGTTCAAAACATCAATAACAACCAATACAAATAATTTTTGATTTATATTGTATGATTGTATCATTTGTATATAAGTTTTCATTGTTATTACACTTTTATATTTCTATTATTGTAAGCTTCCGATGGATGACACTTACCAACTGGTGTTGTACATCTTATTTTGTTATTGTTATTGCTTAATTTGCATTACGGGGTTGTGAAGATTGTGTTAAGTTACACATTTTTTGAAACCATGAATCGATCAATGTTAGACCACCGACATTAGAAACCTGGAAGCAGTGAAAGACGGCCGTTTCGTGGTCCAGGTATGGGACTCCTCAGCAGTGCGCATCCACGACTCCTGCACCTCGCAGGATTCGAACCCAGGACCTTCGGTATTGTGCGCGAATGCCTAACCGTTGGACCACTGGGCCGGTATCTAACGGTGTTCATGTCTAACTTGATCAATTCACGGAGTTGCGCAACCTCATACACAGTCTTTGGTAGTTACTGTCTACACCCGAACAGGTTGAACTTCACTGGTCACGTCCTCCGACTAGAACTCGGAGATCCTTCACGAAGCTAGTTACTAGTTAGCACAGGTAATATACATTACGGGGTTGTTGTGAAGATTGTTAAGTTACACATTTTTGAAACCGAAGACTTTGTATGAGGTAGCGCAACTCCGTGAATTGATCAAGTTAAACATTAACAGCGTTAGATACCGGCCCAGTGGTCCAATGGTTAGGTGCAGGAGTCGTGGATGCGCACTGCTGATGAGTCCCATACCATAACTTGACGGCCGTCCAGTGCTTCCAGGTTTCTAATGGTGGTCTAACATTGATCGATTCATGGTTTCAAAAATGTGTATTGCTTAATTGTTGCTCATTGATTATGTGCACCACTGTTTGTATACGCCCTTTACCATATATGTTTTGATTATGTGTCATACATGATATCTTTATTCTGTGAGTATTCTATGAGTAGATATATTTTTAGTATATTATTGTATTGAGGAATAATCTACCTCATATCATCTGCTGGAGCAAATCATGGTACAAATCCATGAAGTCACTCACAAATGAAATGAGTCATATTGGTAAGTGTAGACTATCTGGTTGGGGTGTGCTAGATGATAGTGATCGTTGGTTAGAAGATACCTTGAATGACATGGCTCAAAATCGTTGGCAGTGGCACAGGTGCATCCACTGTTTGTGTTTTCTGAACTTCTGAATTCCTCATCATCTTTGTCTTTCTCCTTTTAAGTTTGTTTCAGTGAATTATACTTCTTGATTAACATCACCAAACCATAATCTCTCCGATTACCGGTAATAATTCTACTATCTCTACCACTATAGGATTAGAACTGACTATTGTATCTCTGTGTGCTAATGTGTGTATGATGACTTGAGTGTACGCATGTACGTACTTACGAAGTTCTACGCTTTAGCTGACTAACTGACTGACTAATTTATCATATGAACACACTTTCCTTGTTGTTCATTAGTTATTATGTGTAAATTGATAAAAATCAGTTAGTGTTTCGATTAGCCATATAGATTAGGAATGGTTAAGCTTTAACAAAATCATATTCTGGGGCACAGTTTTTGAGGTTTGCGTTTTTACACATTTGAAATCATCAATCAATCATTGTTAGACCACCATTAGAAACCTGGAAGCACTGGACGGCCGTTTCGTCCTGGTATGGGACTCATCAGCAGTGCGCATCCACGACTCCTGCTCCTCGCAGGATTCGAACCCGGGACCTTTGGCATTGTAGGCGAACGCCTTACCATCGGTCCACTGGGCCGGCATCTAACGGTGTTAATATCTAACTTGATCAAATTCACGGAGTTGCGCAACCTCATACCCTGTATACATCCGGACAGGTTTGAACTTCACTGGTCACGACTTCCCACTAGAACTCGGAGAAGATTCCTCACCAAGCTAGTCACTAGTGGACACATGTAATTGCATTGCGGGGTTGTTGTGAAGATTGTTAAGTTTTATTTGTAACCATGAATTGATCAATGTTAGACCACCCTTATTAGAAACCTGGAAGCACTGGACGGCCGTTGGTGGTGATCGATTCATGGTTACAAATAAAACTTTACAATCTTCACAACAACCCCGCAATAAATAGTTAAGCTTTAACAAAATCGTATTCCTATTCTATTCTTTTCTCTCTCTCTCTCTCTCTCTCAGAAAAAAACAATAGCAAACAAATCTAATGTTATTCTTTTTTTGTATCAAGGTCATTTTTTTAATGCATCGTTTATTTTATTTTATTGTATTTTTGTATTTTTATTCATCATTAATCTTATTGATATTTTTTCTCTCTTATAATTATGACCTAATTTTTTATTGTAATGAAAAATGATTTAGGAGAGAATTTTCAATATCAATATGTAATTGGAATACTTTCTTTTTATACTATAAATTATCATTTGTTTTGTAATCTGTCAATCAGTGAGTGAGCTACAATGTAGAGCTATGTACGTACATACGTAGATAGGTTCAAGTTGCCATACCATATTAGCACACCGACATGGAATTGTACATTCAAATCCCATAGTAGTAGAGGTAGTAGATGTATTAGCAGTAATCGGAGAGAGATTAGAGTTCGAAAACATGATTCCAGATGTATAATTCAGTGAGATAAATCTAGAAAGAGAAAGATAGAGATGATGAGGAATTCAGAAGGTTACGATCTGAGAGAACACAAAGAATGAATGCACCTGCGCCATTGCAAACGATTTTGAGCCATATCATTCAAGGTTTTTAACCATCGATTATTATCATCTCGCGAACCCGAACCAGCTCAGACGGATACAATGCCGAACTTCGTGCGTAAGTACATCAGTTCTAGTTGCCATGCCGCATTAGCACAGAGGCGCAACTGTCTGTTTAAATCCAATAGTGGTTGCGATAGTAGAAGTATTAGCAGTAATGGAGAAAATTAGGGTATAATTCAGTGAGATAAATCTAGAAAGAGAAAGATAGAGATAATGAGGAATTCAGAAGGTTACGATCTGAGAGAACACTGTAAATGAATGCACCCTCACCATTGCAAACGGTTTTGAGCCATGTCATTCAAAGTCTCTAACCATCGATTATTATCATCTCGCGGACCGGAACCAGGTCAGACAGATACAATGCCGAACTTCGTGCGTAAGTACATCAGTTCTAGTTGCCATGCCGCATTAGCACACAGATGCAATTGTTAATTCAAATCCCATAGTAGTAAAGGTAGTAGAAGTATTAGCAGTAATGGAGAAGATCAGGGTTCGAAGATATGATTTGAGAAGTATAATTCAGTGAGATCGAAAAATAGAGATGATGAAGAATTCAGGATGTTAGAATTTGAAAGAACCGATGCACCTGCCCAACACCAAACGATTTTCAGCCATTTCGTTCAAGGTCTCTAATCATCGGTGAATTTCGTCTCGCGGACCCTAACTAAGTAGCCTACATCTACCAACATGACTCAATCCACTTGTCATTGACTTCATGGATTCGTGTTACGTTTTAGTTTGGCCACCCCCAGACTTTTTCCAACTTACTCCTACACCACAAAACATTGCTCATTGAGGCAGTCGGTGGTTAGATGTATATACATATAGCACTCATAACTTTGAAATAGACACGTAATAGATAAGTATATAGTGGTTAGTGTATATTCTATCACCAGAAAAATAATTTTTAATCATATTACACGTCTTAGTGATCTTCAGTGTGTTTTTAGTATTCGAGAATAAAAAGGTTATGACCAAACTGTACATTGCACTTGTCCAGTATTCTCCTACAAATGACAATCTACGTAGATGGTTTTTCAATCATCAGGATGTCGAAATTAAGTGTTGAGTACTTTGTGAGCACATAACTCTTACGTGCTTGACTATTACTACTGCCTCGATTCACTTGTGCTGACGACTATCGACAAAGGCGGTGTGTGCTGATATCCTGGTGAAACTCTCAGAAATAAACATAATCTACAATTGAAATTTCTAGATATAAGTCTTAAAAAATTCGTTCATTGGCTAAAATTTCTTCAAATCGTGAACATACTATTTGTTTTTGTAAATCATAGTTTATTTTGCTTTCTAATCTTTCGGTTCTTATGCTTGTTTTCACCCTCTCTCTCTACGTGTTAATATATGCAGATATACCTACCTCAATCTCATGTCAAATTCTAACCTCCTTATACTACTTACCTATCTGGCTTCATAAATAAATATTGATTGGGTTAAATTTTCGTCACATTTATCGACCTAATTTTTGTCTTTTCATCTTATCATATACACTTTAATTTCATGTTGATTGTAGAGGATAACGTTTTTTTTCCACCAATCATTATCTGCCGACAAACAACATATAACGTTCATATCTGTTTGTTCAATGGTATATAGAAGTGACAGTTTTTTTTCCAGATTTGCAATGATTGACAACGACAACAATGTTGTATGTATTTGTAAGAACGTTGCTAAATTATCAGTTTATGGTTGTGAAAAGTTTATTGAGTTTCATTCAAATCATGAATCGATCAATGTTAGACTACTATTGGAAATCTGTAAGTGCTGAAAGGTCGTATTGTCCTATTATGGGGTGCTTCATCAGCGCGCAGTCACCAACGGTTCGATTTTCATGTGCGGGGTCGTGGATACGCACTGCTGATGAGTCCCATACTAGGATGAAACAACCGTCAAGCGTTTCCAGCGTTTCCAATAATAATGGTCTAACATTGATTGATTCATGATTTTAACGAAACTCAACTCTTTTTCACCGTGTAATCTGTTTGTCAATAATCACACTGTTTACAAATGTCAAGTGATGTCGTGGGAAGCGTATACTTTTCGTTGGTTTTATGAATTCACCAGTATTTCACTTAGTCGATTGTCAGTGTAAACCTAATCTTATCTATTTCAGTTTGGGATACTATCTGGGTCCCCAAACTGAAGTAGGTGGTCCTCTTACATGGCCGTTCTACAAGACTTTGACCTACAAGTCTAATTCATGAGACAGTGAAACTACGTCATTAGATTTAATTCCATGATAGGCAGTTGTTGGGGATGTTAGATACCCAAAACTCGCTTGTTAAATGCCTTATTTTGGATTTCACGTTTGCGAGCATGGGCGGATCAGTTGACCTTGAGATTTCATTTCCCACCAGGAAAATCCATGGGTGTGATTGGCTGCCGTATATTTTAGTGTGCTATTTTTGTGACTGTCCCAAGGACGTTTCTATAATGTATAAATAAAGGCGATTTGTGTGCTTGATTGTATTGTGTGATTGCTGGTTGTTTGTAGAAAGAATATACTTTCTACGCTTACAAAGGCCCTCAATCTTCAGCTTGGGATTCAAGTTAGCCTATCTGAATGCTGGTTCATTGTCTCGTTCGCGTTTATTGACTAAAGTGAACCCGTAATAGCTTCAAGCGTACCTAGTGACTAACCCTACAGCAGTGACCAACAATATAGGTTCATGTGTCACTTGTTTCCTTAACATCCCGACGAAGCCCATAATGATGTTTTGTGATCAGAGTTTTCCAACTAACCCGTACACTCACCAATCCGACTTTAAGCTCCTAGTCGGATGTTCACTTTCCATATCCAGTCAATTCCCATAATCAACATCCCCCACCTTGAGAGAATCCAGTGAATAAAACTGTCCTGACAAGTGTTATATATGACGCGTCGTCATATGTACCTCCTACCTAAATTGTTGCATTAAATTCAACTGTTTTTTTATGCGTACATACACATACATACATATATGTGATGATACTAATCGATGGTTAGAGACCTTGAATGACATGGCTCAAAATCGTTCTCAATGGCGCCGGTGCATTTATTCTTTATGTTCTCTCAAATCCTAATCTTTTGAATTCTTCAACACCTCTAGTTTTGACTTGCTAAGCTTTTCTCATTAAATCATATTTCTTGAATAATATCTTCTAATCCTAACCTCTCCGATTACTCCTAATACCTTTACTACCTCTACTACTATTGGATTTGAATTCGCAATTACATCTCTGTGTTGATGTGGTATGGCAACATGAACTGATGTACTTCTGTACGAAGTTCTACGTTGCATCTGACTGACTGACTGACACATACATATATTTGTGTATCTGTTTAAAAAAATATTGCTTATTTTATTTTTTTATTTTTTTCAGTGATCAAAACTTATTTTATTGAAAAACGTTTAGATGGTAAACCAGTTGTTAGTTTACCACCAGTAAGTAGAAAAGTTTTGTTTTGTATCAAATATTGTGTATTATATGTTAGTATCAATATATTCCAGTTTACTACACATCTGGAGTTTTTCTCATTTCTCAGACAGACAAACAGACAAATACAACACACAACTTCGTACGTACGTATGTACATCAGTTCAGGTTGCCATAACGCATTAGCATTGTCAGTTCAAATCCAATAGTGGTAGCGATGGTAGAAGTATTAGCAGTAGTGGAGAAGATTAGGGTTCAAACATATGATTTGAGAAGTATAATTCAGTGAGATCGAAATATAGAGATGAGGAATTCAGGATGTTAGAATTTGAGAGAACACATGGAGTGGATGCACTTGCGTCGTTGCAAACGATTTTGAGCCATGTCATTCAAGGTCTCTAACCATCGGTTAGTATCGTGTCGAGGACCTCAATCAGGTAGCCGACATCTACTCAGTCCTCTTGTTAGTGATTTCATGGATTTGTGCCATGTTTTAGTTTGACTGCCCCTAACTTTCTTCCAACCTACTCCTACACCGCAAGACATAGCTCATCGAGACAGTCGCTGGTTAGGTATACGTAACACATGTGCTAACCACCTCAACTAATGGAGTTTCACTACTTCATTATTGATTTGCCATCCCTACCTAGTACTCGTTTCCTAACCACAGTACTGCTTACTTACCGGGATATACGACCAATGCTTCGAAGACAGGAATGATCGAAAACCAATAACCTACGAATATCTTCTACTCTCACTGGCCATGTTTCACAGCCATAATGTAAGACGGAGCGAACTACTGCACAGTACACTCGTCCTTTAGTCAGCAACCGGATATCTCGCCTACGCCATAAGTGACGCAGGTTGGCAAAAGCAAATCAAGCCTTCTGTATCCGTGCTGAGATTTCGTCAGTCATCAGGCCATTGACATTGATGAGACTTCCCAGATAACTGAAGTGGTCTACACCTTCGACTACTTCACTACCTATCACTAGTTCACGTACCGATGAATCCCCAATCCTGAAGCAACATTTTGCATTTCGAGGGTGAGGACCGCATCCCGAACACGCACATTACCTCCTAGGTGTCCGTGTCATAACTGATATCCTTATAAGACTGTAATGTGTACACTGATCGTTGAGTAGTGATCGTTTTTACGTTTGTCTAGTCCTTACTACTGATCGTAGAGTGCATTCGAACATCAAAGTGTAATGCTAGTTAGTTTCGGTCACTTACACTGGTCAAGAGTATTGAGTTTGGATGACCTATCAAATTTAGTGACCCGTCAGTATAATTATTGAACTTTTGTTAAAAACATCTGTCTCGTTAACAAAATTCGAATACTTTGACTGTTGAATCATAATTGTCCGTGTCATTAAATTACTGGTTAAAAAAAAAGTGAATATTGAATCGAAAAGTCATAATTCAAAAAAGAAGTTTGTGAGTTATGTTATGGCTGCTCGTTTATTTATATAACGTTAATCATTACTGGTAACATCGGATTTTTCACAATAGTGTGTGCACCTCACAAAGTCGGATCATTTTATTGCAAGGAAATTGTATCAGGAAAATATCACATTAAATAATACTAGTAGAATGGACTAAATAGTGTGTCGTTTAGAAAGCTGCTGTCCACTTATAAATACAGTCAATTAAGAGTTTTTTTCAACTAAGGTTCTGATTACCTATATAAACAGTTTGGTCATACCAAATATCCTGGTACGGTTGAGAGTAGACAGAGTCCTCTCTCTAAAAACGCTCTCATATGGCGGCCACTCGTATATAGTCACTGTCATTGGATGTTCTACTCACCGCTTTCTTATGGGTGTGGATCACAAAATCGAGAGGACGGAAAGCGAAGAGAACTATCTGTCTCGATCTTCGCATCCGGTCATAAATATAAGTAAATGTAAGTCAATAAACAATGTGTTCAACCACTGAACTATCCTTTACTTACTTACTTACCTACGCCTGTTACTCCCAATCGAGCATAGGCCGCCGACCAGTTTTCTCTAACCAACTCTGTCCTGGGCTTCCCTTTCCAGTTTTCGTTAATTCTTCTCATGTCGTTCTCTATTTCTCGGCGTAGTGTGTTCCTTGACCATCCTCTTTTACTTTGACCTTGAGGCTTCGATGTGAGGGCTTGTCTCGTGACGCAGTTAGGTGCTTTCCGCAGTGCGTGTCCTATCCACTTCCACCGCTACTTCCTGATTTCCTCCTCCACTGGAATCTGGTTTGTTCTCTGCTACAGTACGTTGTTGCTGATCGTGTCTGGCCAACGAATACGAAGTATTTTGCGTAGACAACTGTTAATAAACACTTGTATCTTGTGGATGATGGCTGTCGTAGTTCTCCATGTTTGCGCTCCATATAGTAGAACTGTCTTGACATTTGTATTGAAAATGCTGATTTTGGTTCTGGTTGAAAGTTGTTTGGAGTTGCAGATATTTTTCAACTGTAGAAATGTAGCCCTTGCTTTGCCGATCCGCGCCCTCACATCTGCATGGAATCCACCTTTCTCGTTGATGATGCTGCCCAGATATGTAAAGGTGTCAAAGTCCTCCAAGGCATCTCCATCAAGAGTGATTTGGTTGGTGCAAGTTGTGTTGCATCGGAGAATTTCGCTTTTTCTTTTATGTATGTTGAGACCTACTGCTGCAGAGGCTGCTGCTACACTGGTCGTCTTCTCTTGCATTTGTTGTTGCGTGTGAGATAGAAGAGCCAGGTCATCTGCGAAGTCCAAATCGTCCAGCTTCGTCCTAACTGTCCAGTTGATACCGTGTTTCCCTCCAGATGTCGACGTTTTCGTAATCCAGTCGATTACCAGGAGAAAGAGAAAGGGTGAGAGTAAGCAACCTTGCCTTACTCTCATCCTTTGGATATATAAATATAATCAAACCTTGTTATGTTTAATGTGTAACGTGTAACAACAAAGTTCCAAATACTGATTCACTAAGGAAAATGTCAAATGAACGAATGAATCAATAGTTTAATCATTCACTGGTTGTTTCTACTTGTAATCAAATACGGAATATTTTTATGTAATAAAATCGATATTATGATGGTTTAACTTATTCTCTTTTACCTTTTCCCTTATAGATACAACTAGAAGTTGATCCAGTCCAATCACAAAGTGTAAGTTCTGTTGTGTTGTGTTGTGTTGTGTTATATGTACGTTTTTATGTATTCTAACTTATGGCTTATTTACCTTATAAATGGAATACCCTCAAATGACTAGTAATTGATTAGTTATGAATTGTGATAAATAGAAACAACTGTTCATTCGCTATTAAATAATAATATTGCAAAACACTTTGTTATGCATGCATGTAAACATGTCAATTGGATACACTTGAACTATTACGAGTTTGCTGTAGTCGGAAAACGAAAGCGATGATCCGGCGACACGACATGCTACTCTAGTCCGATTGTCCCAACCCCCCGCCATTGAGTAAAATTAGAAGACTTGATATGAAGTAGAATCTGTATTCTACAAACATCCAGAAAGTACGAGGTCCGAGTCTACAAGAGGATAAGGATAACGGACTAAGGATCCGGGTCCGGGTCATAAAACGTTACAAATAATGCGTATTTATACAGTTAGGTCGAATAGGAACCGACATTGAAGTCTGTGACATTGACAGTTAGGACGACCAATAGGAAACAACATTTGAAGTGACATTGATAGTCAGGACAACCAATAACAAACAACATTGGAGCACGTGACATTATTAGTTAGGACGAACATAATATTGACCAGTAGGAATTAACCAATAGGAATTGACCAATTCTGTTAGGATGTTGGATAAATATCCTAACACTTTTATTGTAGTCAATGGTTAGTTGTTAAATGAATTAGTTCCAAGTCATCCATTTTTTTGTGGTTTTAACCGTTCAAGGTGTACCACATACTTTGATTTTGAGTAGCCGAATAAAGTCTCTCGCATATATATGCCCAATTCAATGTCTTAAAGCTAAGTATTTTCAACATATGGATAGTCACCAACGAACACGTCATTGTCAGTAATAATAAAAGGATTTAACACATACCAGTTCTAAACAAATATGGTTGCATAGATTTCGCAAATTCACTTCAGTCACTTTCATCCTAACCCCGATCATTATGTTTTGTACACAAGTTACATCATTTGAGATGATTCATGAAGTTATTGATATGCATTGTGGGATTGTGGAGATTGTTGAGTTACTTTTTGAAGTTATGAATCGATCTATGTTACAACACCATTCGAATCCTGGAAGCACTGGATGGCCGTTTTGTCCTGGTATGGGACTCATCAGCAATGCGCATCCACTGCTCCTGCTACTCGTGGGATTTGTATCCAGGGCCTTCGCTCTTTCTCGCGAACGCTTAACTTCTGGACCACTGAGCCTGTGGCATCTAACGGTGTTAATATCTAAGTTCGACCAATCCACGGTCTTTGTGCAACCTCATTCATTGTCTTTGGTAAGCACTACTTCATATCTGAATAGAGTTGAACTCCACTGGTCACTACTGCTGTAGGGAGAAAGTAAAGGAAATTACTTGAATTACAGCCGGAACTTTGAGTCATATTGTTTTTATCAGGGTTAATGCTATAAGATAAGAACAATGAGGAAGTTAATCAGTCCTGAAAGGGATACCCAATGCATTGGTAACTGATAATAGGATAAGAATTTAACGTCTAGCTTACTGATACTGGACACCCTCATTTGTGTAAAGGTCTAGGATTTTCTCGGTTTAATGCCTTAGCTTATCACGTCGGTCATTCCAACTAATCGAGAAGGGCTAGAAATAATTCTTTGATAATTTTCTACCTCAGTATCGTAATGCTAGGACTCATGATAACTCAGCCAAACTCTTCAAACCTCGCAAGACATCATCAGAAGTATAGTTTCCCCGGGTAATTGATTATCGACCATGTGCAGGAATTACAATTCGAAAAAGGCAATTGAATGATAAGCATTCTAAGATGGTGGAGAAGACTTGTAGCTCAGGTGGATGGTTGTTGTGGTGTTTTGTTCTCTGAGCTGGTTGTTTTGGTTGTGCAGTTTTCATTGTTCTTCTGAACAACATCATCAGCACAAACTTCAGATAGAAGTGAAGCACTGGAATTTCCGCACGTTTGACCTGTAGCTTATTCTGCTAACCTCGATCTTGATTGGTTGCTGTTGACCTCAATTCCGTCGTTGTTTGCAACTTTGTTTTGATTGCATCCCCCTTTTGATCTGTTTCTTGATCCTGTGTCACCTATGATTTTCCTGATTGGTTGATAAATTGGTTTAATGTCGATGTGTTTGTTGATTGCTGATTGACCCGAGTGCCAAGCTTCTAAAAATTCTCTAATGTTCTTAGTCCTCCAAAGAACGATAAGCATTTTATCCAGCTCTACCTTAAAATGAAGCTAGATGAATCGGGTTGTTAATATTATGTAGAAATCAAGACCACATGAAAGTTACATATTTGTATATAGATATCTGTCGAAGACCAAGTTCATAGTTACGTAATACGTACACATAGTATTCACTTATCTATTTGAAATCTAAGCAGTGTATTGACTATCTTCTCTAATTGCTCTTCTGGTCTCTAAAATAAACCATGCATTTCCTGACACTCTAGGTGACGCTACACTGCACACTACTTATAAGCCATTTTGTGAGTAGTATCCACCACAGGGATTCAAACATACAATCTACTGGTTGAATGTTTCAATTACTATGTTGATCATTGAATGGATGTTAGTGTGGTGCGGGCTACTTATAAGTAGTATATGATGTGAGTGTCAACGTAATGTCTGGCACCAGAAGATGGGGGGAAGATCAAGAAAGGAAGAGTTAGAAAACAATGGAATTTGTATGAAACGCATGAATAGTGACAATGGATTGATGTTTTGCAACAGGAACAGCCCAGTTCGATATGATGAACTGATATTTTGCAAATGAACGATTTACGATATGGTTTTCCGATTTTACTGAGTAACCCTGTAATTTTCGTTAAATACAATTCGGTTGCCCCACCTGTATTCTCCTTCACTGCATTAGTATTATAGTTGTGACAGTTTGTTTCCAAAACGTACTTTCAAAACAGAACTAGCTCTCAGACTAGTCTCCAGTAGATAGTTGCTTGTGCACTGTCCGACTAAACAGGGCAGTAAAGATTAGGAATGATAAGAACACCCCTCCGTCGCCTCTGCATTGTCTGTGCTTACGTTCTCACTTGATTGCAGTTCAGATGAGGTAGCAGATGAATTTTGTGTAAACTTTTCGAAACTTCTTCACAAATCTAGATGCCCTGATTTATTAATAATGACTGATGGTTTTAACGCTCAAGTAGGTGGACTAAGTTGGTTGGAGAAAACTGGTGGGCGGCCTATGCTCCATTGGGGGTAACAGGCGTAAGTAAGTAAGTAAGGTGGACTAAGTGAAACTGAAAGACATCTGGATGAATTTTAAGGTATCACGGCTAATCAAACGACGGTTAATGGTGACCATCTACTACAGCCGTGCTCAGATAACCTCCATCTATTTCCGGTTAATACCAACTTTAAACATGAGGAAAAAAAATTATCTTTTGACATGTGTAACATTTTTATTCCCTGACTCATACATATCCAATTGTTTTTAGTATCGTTTTATTTTTCATCTAGTCGCTTAATTTTATTGAATCGCCATGAATTTATCAAATTTTTTACGTTATTGTTGTGATCGTTTATATATATATATATATATATATATATATATATATATATATATATATGCTCCAAGGGGAGCGTATGGGATAGGGAACGTACAGACATTTTTTTTCTCAAATGTTAACAACGAAAAAAAAAGGCATATCATCATTTATTATTAGTTGTAACAAAAACAAACAAACATTGTTACTCTTCTTGTTCTTCGTATAGTTTGTTTATTTCGAAAACAAAATTCAGTGTATCTCTTTGTCTGTACTTTTTTTTCTCTTTTCAAACACCCCGAAAATAATTTCATGTTGATGATTATTGTTGTCGTTGTTGTTGTTATAACTGCAAGTTCATTTTGTTATCTAGGGTCTGAATTCGCCAGTTATAATCTCGACTGGAATTTCTCTGTTTCTCATGTGTACTATTTTGTTGTAAGTAGACTAGCGTTGTAAGCTTTGTCTTAGTGAGTCATACAGTTTGATTATTAAGATTACTTTGAAGCGGATATAATTTTAACCTCTACTGGTACACTGTCTGTCCCCAGTATCAAGTTCGAGGAAAAGAACATTACAAAGTGCTCTCATCAGTATATACTATACATTGCAGACACGTTATCATTTTTTATGGGTATTAGGGTGGATGTTACTTGCCGGCTACCCGGTTACCGTGAAAGTGCTCTAGTTGTCAGAAGGCCCATCGGACTCGTGACTTCCGAAGGAACTTTGCTTGCATCATGAGACGTCATAACTCTTCCGCTTCGAATTTGACGTGTAGCTTATTCTGTTAACCTCGATCTTGATTCGAAACATGGCCGTTAAGAGTAGAGGACTTCCGTAGGTTACTAGTCTTCGATCATCGCTGTCTTAGATGCATTGCTCCTGTACCATGGGACGACCGTATAAGCAATGCTGTTGTTAAGAAACGAGTTCTAGATATGGATGGCAAATCAAAAGATGAATTAGTGAAACTTCATCAGTTGGGGTGATTGGAACATGTGTTACATATGCCCGAACACCGACTGCCTCGACGAGCTTTGTTTTGTGGTGTAGGAGTAGGTTGGAAGAAACCTAGGAGCGGTCAAACCAAAACATGGCACAAATCCATGAAATCACTGACAAGTGGACTGAGTCATGTTGGTAGATATAGGCTACCTGGTTCGGTTCCGCGAGACGAAATTCACCGATGGTTAGAGACCTTAAACGACATGGCTCAAAATCGTTTGGAATGGCGCAGGTGCATCCACTCTTTGTGTTCCCTCTAATTCTAACCTTCTGGATTCCTCATAATCTCTATCTTTCTCCTAAATTTATCTTACTGAATTAGACTTCTTGAATAATATCTTCGCTCCCTAATCTTTTCCATTACTGCTAATACTTCTACTATCGCTATCTCGCTTGAATTTAAACTGACAGTTACGTCTCTGTGCTGATGCGGTATGGCAACTTGAACTGATGTACATATGTACGAAGTTCTGCGTTGTATCTGTCTGCCTGTCAGTCTCGATCTCGATTGGTTACTGTTGACCTTAAACCTGTCGTTGTTTTCACCTTTGTTTTGATTGTATTCCCCTTTTGACCGGTTTCTTGATCCTATGTTTGTCGATATTTTTTCTTATTGGTTTTATAAATTGGGTCAATGTTGATGTGTGTGTTTGTTGATTGCTGATTGATCTGAGTGCGAAGCTTCTCAAAAATTCTCTAGTTTTCTCTTGTACACTTTCTGTCCCCCCAGTCTAAAGTTCGAAGAAGAGAGCATGACAAACTGCCTTTATCAATACACTGCAGACACATAATTATTTTTTTTCTTCATAACTTACTACTTGTTATTATAAAGTAGTTATTATAGAATTCTCTTCTTCAGTTGAATAATTTATCGATTAAAACTATAATTTTCTTTTTTTTTATATAGACCAATAATGTCTGTGATATTGATACAACTAATCAGTTGCATACCACTCAAGGTATCAGCACAATTTTATCCTCAACTCCAACAATGGACACTCATGACAACAATGACAAAAGTGCTAATCATCATGCTGATGATGACGATGCGATGACTACTGAAAAACTAATCAATACTCCCCAATTGTCACAATCGATTTCAACCGCTCTCACGGAACATCGTATTTCGATGGACGATCAAAATCTGACTATACCACTTACCAATACTACTACTACTACTACTCATATAAATACCGATACTACTGATATGAATACTACGCCTGGTACAACTGCTACTGCTACCACTACTGTCACCACTCCTAATTCATTCAATCTTAGTCGTGGTTCTGATGTAGAAATGTTACAAGCATTGCAAGATTTTGTTCAACCCGATGAAATATTCATTTTTCCACCAATCTCTAAATTGAGTTTAAATTTTTTTGTACCAGCCGTAGAGAAAAGTTATCGACATTTAGGTTTACGACGTCCAAAACTACATGCTATTGATAAGTTGTCTTGGTCTACACCACGTATTGCACCATTTATTAATACAATTACAGAGACTATATTACTATGTATTATATCAATGACATGTTTAATTGTATTTCCAACTAGTCGATTAATGAAGCAAACACTGCTGATGAATACACCAATGTTTTATATTATTCTATGTATTGCTTTTCTAATACATGCTTTATTATTGACATTGTTAATTTCCGATTTATTTGCTTGGGCATGGTGTCCTTCTTCTTCATCTTCTTCTGGACAGATTGACCAGAAAAATGTCAATGCCAGTAATAAATCCAAACAGAAAGTATGCACCGCACGTCATAATAATAATAATAATAATAATTGGCGACGTGTAGTAATTCGTTTATATGGGAAATTATTTCGTTGGAATTCACGTAATATCATTGGTGTATTCATTTTAATATTGCCAACATTGATTGTCCTGTCATGTTATTCTTATTGTTTATTTAGTAATCATAACAACATGTTCATGTTCAATACAACCACAAATCAACCGATCGATAATAGCATCAGTTCTTATAATGATGATCCTCATGCTCCGCTATTCTATGCAACATATCGTACACAAATTGGTTTATTGTTTAGTTTTATGTTTATCAATTGTACCTTGTATACATCATTCTCATCGTGGACAAAAACATTTTCAGCAACATTTGTTTGTTTACTTGGAATTGTGCTAATATGTTTGCATAAAACTCTATTACAGTATAATACATGTTCACCTGAATATGTTCAATCATGGTATACAGTGATATTGAATAGTTTTGAAAATTTAATAAATCTTCAAGAGGAACAACGTCAAAGCCACAATTCATCATCATCAGCGTCGTCGTTATTATTCATAGTCTCGTATTATCCTAGTTGGTTAAATCCCGCCATATCGGATAATGTTATCTATGAATACATTGTAATTGGTTTACTCACCCTAATTCTAGTCGGTGCATTAAATCGTGAATTTGATATAAATTTTCGTTTAAGTTTTCATCGTGATTACGAAGCGTTACAAGCCAAAGAAGCAATTGGTCATCAAAAATTACAAGCTGATTGGTTATTAGAAAATATTATCCCCTATTATATTATGAATGATTTACGTCAACATAATAAATACTCTCAGCATATTAATGATGCTGGTGTCATATTTGCATGTATAGCGAATTTTGCTGAATTCTATGATGAACAATATCAAGGCGGTCAAGAGATGTTACGTGTATTAAATGAAATATTTGCTGATTTTGAACATCAGTTGACTTTAACAAAATATAAAGATGTTGAAAAGATTAAAACAATCGGTGCATGTTTTATGGCAGCGTCTGGATTGAATATGACTGAACGTCAGAGGAATAAACGACCCGACGAACATTTATGGGCATTGTTAGATTTTGCATTGGATTTAATTCATACACTGGATGATTTTAATCGTCAAATGTTTAATTTTCAATTTGAATTAAAAGTCGGTTATAATATTGGTGAAGTGACAGCTGGTGTGATTGGGACAACAAAATTATTATATGATATATGGGGTGATACAGTGAATGTAGCTAGTCGTATGTATTCAACCGGTTTAAAAGGTCGAATACAAGTGACGGAAGCTGTTGCGAAACGTTTGGAATCACGTTATGTATTTGAATATCGTGATGAAGTGTTTGTCAAAGGCAAAGGTAATATGAGAACGTATTTATTGGTTAATCGTCGAAATAGTTAGATTAGTCTATCTGTCTAACTACTACTGGTACTACTGTCTGGCTGGCTACTAATGCCAATCATGATCATTTCATGAATTATATGATCTTTACAGACTATATACTTTCATTTCTCTGGTCAATTGATCTGTTAAATATATATATATATGAAAATTTTCCTGTTTATGAAATTTATTTTAAATGTCTTTTTTTCCGCCATTATTATTATTATTATTTAGTTAAGTCAACAATTTATTATGATTTTTTTTTTAACTGAATCAAATGACTTATTGATTAATTAATTAATTAATTAAATAATTAAATTATTTATTTATTATTTATCTAATTTTTCTCCTTTTTTTACTTCATAATCATCGTCACAACAATCTCCTCTTTTTATTATTATTACTATTATTATTATTAATTTCCATTATCATGATGTGATATGAATAGATCTGTTCTTCAGTTTTCAAAGAAAAAAACTAACTTTGTTCATGTCAACTACTTATATATATACATATATATATGTGCATTTGTCTTTTTAAGACAATTACAACAAGTACAACTAAAGATTAAGATGCATTGAATTGTTTTTTCTCTTTCTTTTTTGTTTAAATTATTGTTGTGATTAATTGTTTTAATTTATTTGATATATGATATAAGCGCCCAATCACTAATAATTGATTGATTGATCGATTGATTGATTGACATTCTCTCCGCTAAACTACATACACACTATCTACTATCATCATCGTCATCATCATCAGTCGACATGAATCTTAGTTCAAATTATTATTATTATTATTATTTTTGTTCATCGGTTTTGTTTTAATCGATTGAATCGGTTAGCTATATTGATCATTGAATAGTTGATGTGAATGATTTTCTTCAATGTTCAAGTGTGTTTTTATATTTGAGAAAATATGGAAGAAATATTCAATTATTAATTTTTTTAAAACATATATATATTGCATTTTTCTCTTCAAGATTGGTCCTCCACATTGATTTTGTCTTCTTGTTGTTGTCGTTGTCGGTGTTGTATTATTGTCTTTAGCTCTCTCTCTCTCTCTGTCTCTCTATATATAAAAAGAGTTTTTAAAACGATCAAGGTAATCAATCACTTTCTCTCTCTCTTGTTCAAACTAAAATCTGGTGTACACATTTCTCTCTTGCGTGGTTTTGTTGTGTGCGTGTACGTATGATACTAGCGACAGTAAAAATAGACTTCGTCAATAAACTTTCCCTATCTATATATATATTACCAGACAACAACATCTACAACAAATGAGGTGGTGATCTGATCTCATGTTCAACCAATACTACTACTACTACTGACGATGATATTGATAATGATTGTCATTCTTGTCTGTCGACATATTTTTTTTCCTTCCTCTCTTTGTGTGTGTTAAAGAAAAAATTTTGAATTGTCATAGGCGAGGGAAAGGTTTTCTCAATAATAATAATAATAATCTCTGTTTTAATTATTATTACTATTATTATCTTTGTAAAGAGTATATTCACTTTAGAAAGTCAATGATTATTTTGAAACTTTTCTCTAGACAACAATATATAAATAGATAGATAATGACAATGATCATCATAAATATACTATTGAATTGTAAAATGTAGTTTTCTTTTTTCACGTCTGTCTGCATTATTAATTTATTGAATGTTTAAGGATGAATAATAATAAGAGGGGTATGTTATTAGTGCGCATGCGCGTCAACAGGTCGATTGATAGGCAGTAAACGAGAGCGAGGATCGATGATCCAGTGATATGATAGGCTATACTAAATCCGAGCGGCCCAAGTCCCCATCGAGTAGAAGAAGAAGTAGAAGACTTGATATGAAGTAGAACGTGTATTCTACAAGCATCCAGAAAGTACGCGGTCCGAGTGCAGAAAAGGATAAGGATAATGCATATTTATGCAGTTAGGTCGAAAAGGAAACAACATTTGAAGTATGTGACATTGATAGTTAGGACAGCCAATAGAATTAGACATACGTAAGTCAGTCAGTCAGTTACAACGTAGAACTTCGTACGTAAGTACATCAGTTCATGTCGCCATACCACATTAGCACACAGACGTAATTGTTAATTCAAATCCCATAGTGGTACAGCTGGTCGTTAAAGTATTAGCGGTAATCGGGGAGAGATTAAGGTTCTAAGATAATATTCAGGAAGCACGATTCGGTGATATTAGTTTAAGAAGACAAAGGTAAAGGTGTTGAAGAATCCATAAGATTGGAATTTGAGAGAACATAAAGAGTGGACGCACCTGCGCAATCGCAAACTATTTGGAGCCATGTCATTCAAAGTCTCTAGCCATCGGTGACTTTCGTCTCGCGGACCTCAACCAGGTAGTCTACACCTGCCAACATGACTCAGTCCAGTTTTCAGTGACTTTAGAGATTTGTGCCATGTTTTGATTTGGCCGCTCCCAACTTTCTTCCCGACCGTAGCTGCTACCTTGATGTGTAATCGGGCTTGCCTATCGTGATGACCCAACCGAGCTATACTGGCAGGAACTTATGTTCCTGACTACACAGTGAGTTACGATAAATTGTGACTAGATTATTGGCTTTCAGGATAAAACAGACAGATTTCCACTTAAGTTTATGATTATTATTATTATAAGCATTGTGTTCGTTAGTACACAAAGTAGTTATACCAAGAGTTGTTTCTGTTTAATGAGCCTCCGAATGCCCTTGCACGGCTGATATTGTGAAGTGTCCGCTCCCTTTATAGAATCGTTTTTATGTGGCCAGGCGTATATAGTTATTTCCAGCGAATTCCTACTAACGACGAGAATGTTGTTTACGAACTTAAGACGCGCTAAGTAGGTAATTTGAGAAAATCATCACAATAGTTACTTAAGTGGTCGCTACTCATCGGTTTGTTTTTAATCGAAAACCATGAATACAAGGGAACTTCTAGATTTTTATCGCTTTTAAAATTCGAAGTCTAGGAAAGTATTCATCATCCATCGTTCACTAGTACATAAGAATAAAATCTTGACATGTCAATCTTAAACAGTTCCATGTCTGTGGCATAGTAGACTGTTATCGAATAAAGTCATAAAAGTTGGACGTCCTTCTTCACTTGTCAGGGTTTGGAATTTTCGTTCTTCATGTTAAGTAATACAATTGATCAATATCTTTTGGCATATACAAATCCTGAGAGGATTGCCTTGACAGTGTTATCAGTTACAAGGGTTTTGTAAGAATAGTTGAACAGTAGCTAACAGTTGGATATGTGATGCACATTTCTTGGGGCTGATCAACCGAGAATGTCTGTATCTAGACTCTCTTTTCAAGCTCTTATGACTGGCTTACGATTCATGGCCGTAGCATGAACCAGTGACTGTATGAACTGGATCGACGTTCGAAGCAAAACGCATTACGTTCGAGTTTCTATGTGATCATTAATACTGTAATATAGATTCATCCAGCCAAGGAGAACTATTTCCTCAGAAACGCGTATCCTCGACTCCGTAACTAATCACTGTCTCACTGTGTTTGTGCAGAGCCAATGCACCATTATAAAATCCATTGAAACTATCAAATATGGCAACAGATGGAAAAAAAGTAAGCAATGAAATCAAAAATTCCTGAAGTGCACGATGAAACATTAGGTTTCTTAATTTGAACTACTATAATTTAGTTAGTAGTATAATTCATGCATACAAAGTAGGTCGTAGCAAATATACTTGGAAAACAAATATTCAAAAGAACAAAACAAAAAATTCAGTGTAAAGATCATATCCTAAGATCCGCTATTATTCAGAAAAAGTAAAACATTTAAAAAAAACTATGGTATCATTGTGAATAAGCAAAATTAAATGCCATTCCAAAAAGAAGGTAACACTAACGAAGTAAAATTGGAAAAAATTTACCAGTAAAAGCAATATATAGAAAACAACGAATAACAACATACAACAACACAAATAAAATCTGAAGGAAGATAAAATAATTGATAGAATTGGTGTGGGGACTCGATCATTAACAAGTCACTGACTTTCGATATTGCTGAACGATAACTTCAACCTAAATTTACTCCGACATTGTTACCTCGACACTTATCTCTTAAAAATGTACCTGAAATGTTAACAAATAATGGCTTTAGTTTAAAACAGTTTTGAACTTCTTCTCTAATTATTGCTAGAATAAAAAAATAGTATATTGATCACTGTGACGTAGACCAAACTACAGTAGACTAATACAATGAAAAGATATCAGTGTGAGAAATATTCCTTACAGCAAATAAATTAGTTATTGCCAATATTTTTCTGACTATTCTTAAAAACATTTCAACTTCAATATTTGTATATATTGAAATTTATTCAACCTTACTTGAATTATTTACAAAATTTTGAATGAAGTTTTTCCTACACTCAGGAAGTAAGCGTTAATCTATGTAACGACGCATTTAGGCTGACAGAGCGTTCACAAAATAAACCCTTGTTCCGTTTCTATCTCGCTGATTTCTTTTGATGTGATATGATATTTATTTATATGATAAATAATAATATTTATTTCTTACTAAATACTGTGGCGAATCTGCTATTTGATGAAGTCCCAAAAATACATCAACTTGGTTTGAAGTCTGTTGTTTTTTTTATTTTTCTTGAGCAAAGACGCAACTTTTTGACTTTCTGCGACTCATCAACAAACATGCGAACAGTATGGTGGTTGAAATCTTTGTTAAAGTGAGTTTTATTGCTTCTCTCTTCAATATTTGTGTTCAATTCAGAGTACTGACAAAATCAAATTGATATACTTTTTATTTCACGGATAGTAGTATGGAATTAGGATGTAAGCTCAAAGAATTCTGTTTAGTTTCATGACTCATTTTAGTTAACTATTTAAGTGAATGTGGGAGGTAAACTGATTTCCTGTTGTGAATTAATAATTATTGCCAACTGAAAACAGTTCACACTTACGTAAGCCAAATTTCTTTCTACAAATTTGTGTTAAAAATTTTAATGAGGAACTCAAATCAAATTCAAGTGAAAGTCGAAACAAAAAAGCCATCAGAATGGGCAAGTCACCTTCCGTTACCATCAGTGTATTACCACTTGCATATAAATGACATGAACAGTAAGGCCTTGCATTTAACCCAAATACACCATGATGTCAAATCCACTTCAGCTGTCATTGATTTTCACACAAATGGTGGTACCCGAAAATTATCATATAATATCTCACTTATCAACAGTTCTATTCTCTTGATGAT